GGCATTTTGAAATTGCTCACGGATACGATTACATAGCTTTACACATTGATCTAAAAATACTCCCCCTTCGCAGGAGCAAAGCCCCCTACACACGTAAACACAGGACTATCAGGCTAATCATTCTTCAGCAGACATCACAGGAGTGAGTAACTGTGAAGTATGGGGGCTCGCTCTGCCCTGTTTCGTATCGTGGGATAAAACGCTGGATTTATAAACGTACAGGAAATACGTCCCCTAATTTGCTTGTTAGGCTAGTAGCGTAAAGTTTGCCTTTCTTTTTATGTGTTGTGAAAACCGCCATGTTTCTCATGTCTTGCTGTTATTTCTTCTGGAAACAGGTAAGAAGTTTGACAAATATATTCTAACTTTGAAAGTAATCTTTTAAAGTTATCACTTTTAGCATCTATAATATCTGAAACACAAGCTTTACGTGATGGATTTCTGGTTAGAAATATAGTTGTCTTTTCTCTTTGTTATTGTTGTTGTCTGAAAACTTCTTGTATTATCCCTTTAGTAAAGGAATTCAATTATATGAGTTTTTAGTATATACATACACTGTATATGCTAGAAAGTTCTCTTGGACATATATGCTGTACAGTGTATTATTCCCAAAAAATGTTACTCCGATCTATGTTTTCTGTTACAATTATTATTAAAAATTATATATTTTACATCATTTAACTAATGTGGTTAAAAAGGGATAATTAAAGAGGGAAAGAGTTGTGTACAACTTTAATTGTTTTTCAATTGATATGGATTATTGTAGGCCTTCTAGTGTAGGAAAAGGGGAAATTGTCTAATAATTTGGAGTTCATACGTCAGAACAAGGTGTAGCCTTTTTGGCCTTCACGCTGATGAGAGGGCCTACGATATACCACGCTTTTGAGTTTGATATATATATATGTATGGATATTTAATCAATTTTATCTTCAATTTTGTTTGGCAATTACAAATGATAATTATGTATCGGTATACATTTTTATCAAAATTAATACAATAATTTTAATTGTGTTATAGATAGAAAACAAAATCATAGTAACCATGAGTCCATGTATAACAAACAATTATCATGTACCGTACCTCAATCAAATCCAGAAAATTTGAAGCATTTTAATCTTCATGTCTAATGATACTGCAATTCTTTAAAACATGGATCACATTTGGAATTTTTGGATCACATTTGGATATCATAACATAACATCAAGGATCTGGTCTGTACACATTGCCCCTGTTTACATCGGCACCAATCAAATTCCAAGATTAATAACGGGTCCCATCATGTAACATCCTCAAAATTAATAAACTGAACTCCCTGTAAAATCAATATTGTGGAGCCCAGACTTTAGGCGTAATATTCATGTCATATGATTAGGGCATTCTTGATACATGTATTTCCATAATGACAAAGCAAGTAGCTTGTGCTTATTTTTTCCTCACAACATTACAAAGCACATTTATTGTGTGGAAGAGGATACACTAGTGGCAGTGATTCAGTATTAGTCTGCAAAAAACCTCACATCCTACAACACGTTTTGTCTACATGTGTGAAACAAACAAGCACAGGTCTACTCATGTGTCAATCATTGATCGGATACAATCACTCACTCATTGGAACTGATTCAATTTCCGGCCAGAGATCTATAGTTCAACTTCAATAGCATGCTAGTGTTATTGTGATGGTATTAATAGGCTGGAAACATACTTGTAAACTAATGAAAAAGAATTGTATGATTGATAGTATATATATATTTTGTCACACAAGTTTTAAATTCAAGAATGTTTACAGCATACATGAAGAAATATTTTAATCCTTTTTGAAAATTGGATTCAAGGGCCCAGGAGGGAGGAGGATGAGAGGGTTTGAAACCATCAATATGATGAGAAGCAGTACAGAGCAAAAGCTCATTAAACTTTACAAAGAAATGTCCTCCTCATACATTAGCATTTTAAAGGGAAATACCCTATTGTATTTTGATTAGAGTACAGTGCAGCTCTGCACTTGTTCATTGTATGTAAAAATGAAAGTATTGACTTTTCTTTGAACTGACATAAACTATTGCAATTGTGCAAACCACGTACAATGTGAAATAAACATCATTGTATGAAATAAGAAAACTTTACCAAGTACAGTAGTTTCAAGTGATTTAGATATGTTAATTGTGGAAAATCATCTTGGGTTTCTTGACAAAGTACCATGAGTCCATGATGTCTTCCATCTGGAATTGTAGATATTTCTTGTCAAGAATGAAAGCTCACAAGGAAGTTGTGCTTTTACTCTCTTGACCCTTATTTTCTCTCTGTTCTTCACCCCCCCCCCCCCATTCCCGAACCCCATTCAATTAATTCAATTCAACTCTCAACCTTTCTCCCTACCCTCCGTCCCTCCTCTCTATATCTCTTTTTTCTTTCTCTACCTTGGTCCCTCTTTTTCTCTCTATCGTGCTCCCTCTTTCTCTCTCTATCGTTCTCCCTCTTTCTCTCTCTTTCTGTCAGCATCTGTGAAGTAAGTAAATCAAGAATGAAAGCTCACAAGTTTAAGGAAGATGTGCTTTACTCTCTTGACCCTTATTTTCTCTCCGTTCTTCAAACCAACCCCCCCCCCCCCCATTCCCGAAACCAATTCAATTCAATTCAATTCAACTGTCAACCTTTCCCTCTACCCTCCCTCCTCTCTATATCTCTCTTTTCTCTCTCTATCTTGGTCCCTCTTTCTCTCTCTATCGTGCTCCCTCTTTCTCTCTCTTTCTAACAATCGGCATCTGTGAAGTAAGTAAATGTGTCTATGTGTCAATACTTGTATACTAGCTGCATTGTAAATTTTGAGAGCAGTAATTGGCTTTCTAATGAGGTCTGTAAAATGTCTTTCTATATCTATAGTATTTGAATATTGAGGATAGATCCACGTGATGTACATGTAGACCCCTCATTAAATCTGTCAGTTTTTTAAGGCCAAGGGGCAAGAAATTAATAATGTACACAAGCAATACAGTCTTCTTGTCTTGGCTATTTGGCGGCTTTCCTTGTGTACATGGTGTGGTTCATGAATTCACACATGGATAATATAATGGAGTTTTATTGGACAATCAACTTACCGGTACTTTTCAAGACCATCGAATGTACATACTAAAAAAGATCTCTAAAAATATCAGAATTATCAGTAAATTGCATTCTATTCTACCCAAAAAACATCTATTCATGCTACATGTATATTATTCACTTATACCAACTTCTTGCTTATACTTCCTTTTATTCATTATTGTAACATTACCTGGGCCAACGTTGGAAAAGGCAAATTAGAACCATTTCATAAATTGCAGAAAAAAGCCTTACGCATTTGTACAAAGTCACCTTATTTAGCACCATCTTGCTCCCTCTTTTATTAATTTAAAACACTTAATATTTATCATATGAATTTAAACTCGCAGTACTGATGTATTATGTCAAACATAAAATGGCCCCAGCCAATATAATTAATTAGTTTAACTTTAATAATGATTTTCATCAGTATTACACACGTTCAGTTTCCCAATTTCACCTTCCATTAACTTCTAATACGCAAATGTATGTATATTTCTTTTAAACATGTAGGACCAAAGATTTTTAATAATTTAAATACAATCATTCGTCCATGTTCAACAGCCTCCTCCTTCAAAGTCTTACTTAAAAGTCACTTTATTCATAAATATACTTCTTGATTTCCATATCTTTTTAATAAGTTGACCTCATATATGTACACTGTACATGTAATCTCTCTTTCTCCTTCCCTTCTCTTGGGTGTGTGTGTGTGTGTTGGATGTGTCCGCTTGTGATTATTATTAATGTTTTACTTATAATTTGTTCATTTTGTCAAAGGGGCACCAGTCCACAAGATCTTGATCTTTTTTGGTTGCCCCTAACGATATGTTAATTTTATACATGTATATGATGATGTCAATATATGTTTGATTGCATTCTACTATTTTCTTTTATATCGTTGAATAAAGATGAATTGAATTGTAATGGTTTTACAAGAACCGAGGGATACATCTCTGATCTGCAGAAAGTTAATATTTTCTGATGTTCATGTTTAATTTACAAGGTGATGATATTAATGATTAACTGTGTTTGTAACAGATCATAAATGTACATGTAGGTATTTATGAGCCTTGAATTTGAATTCATCAGTTTTGGGCATGGTTACTGACTTGTCACCAGGGGGAAGGGGGAGAGAGAGAGGGAGGGAGAGAGAGAGGGAGGGAGAGAGAAAGAGAGAGGGGAGAGAGAGGGGGAGAGAGAGGGAGAGAGAGAGAGAGAGAGAGAGAAAGGGAGAGAGAGAGAGAGAGAGAGAGAGAGAGAGAGAAAGGGAATCTGAGACAGGAAGACAGAGAGACAAACAGAAAGACACATGTATACAAGATAAAAATGGATGGAATATAGATGATTTTGATAATGATTACCGGTATGTGCAGCTTAATATGCACACATGATATCATGATTTTGTGTCTTTAAACTTATGCTATGTCAGAAAACCTTATCTTTGGTATTAAACAACATATACAATGAGCATTTAATAAAACTATTATCACAACACGTGTCTTTAAACCAGGCCTGCTTTAAACTAATGCTATCTCAGAAAACCTCATCTTCTGGTAAGAACATATGAAAAGAGTATTTCATAAAAATATTACCACAACAATGTTGTCCTGTTGTGTCTTTAAACCAGGCCTGATTTAAACTTATGTTATGTCAGAAAACCTCATCTATTGCTATTGAACAACATATGAAAAGAGCACTTAATAAAACTGTTATCACAACAATGTTTTTATGTTGTGTCTTTAAACCAGGCCTGATTTAAACTAATGCTATGTCAGAAAACCTCATCTTTTGGTAACAACAACATATGAAAAGAGCACTTAATAAAACTATTATCGCTTTGATCAGTTGTAAATTAGATATAGCGCTATAAAAGAAACAATTTATTATTATTATCACATGATTTTTTTTCCTTATTTTCACTCCAGGTGGCTGGTGAGCACAAGTTCCATCCGGACTGCTTTGTATGCTCTAAATGCCAAGCCTACATTGGAGATGGAGACAGCTATGCCCTGGTGGAAAGATCTAAACTATACTGGTAAATTTCATGATTATCTTATTGTATCATATCAAAATAGGCCGTAACAAAGGAAATGATTTGATTTTGTATCACTTTATTATCAATCTTCAATAAAGGAACATGGTATAAACATTAAAGAATTGCACAGTCACAGACATATAATAAGAGTAGTCCAGGTCATGGCTCATAACTGCCAAAGCAGGGCATACAATACAAAACATATAAGACATAAAGATGTTATAAAACATGAGTGCCGAGATCTTTAACAGTAGTTGTGTTCATGCCAAATTGTTTCTTTTCAGATTAAGAAAAATACACAATTTATAATTAACTTTACTCAATTAATGTATACAAATGCTTAATCGTTTTGGAGGAATAGAGGGCTCACGTGATGCAACAAAATATGACATGTTCAGTGGCATGTATTCAGCCCACGGTTGCACCACGATAGCCCTCTTTATTACTTATAAGCACTATTACTTTTGTTATTATTATAATTATTATTAGCTTTATTATTATCATCGTTATTATAATTATTATCTTTATTTTTATTATAATTATTATCTTTATTTTTATTATAATTATTATCATTATTATTATGATCATCATTATCATCGTCATTTTAATTATCATTATCATTATTATTGTGTTTATTTTTATTATTATCATTGTTGTCATTATTATTATTATTATTAATATTATTACTATTATTACCATTTTGAATAATATCGTTATTATTATTATTAATATTATTAATAATATTATTATTCATTATTATCATTTAGTGTCCAGTTATTACAGATTTTTACAGTCTTGCCATGAGGGCTCACCCTTTGCGCAATAAATTGCAAAGGACGACACAAGGGCCATTTTACTGAGTTTGTCCAGAAATTGCTTTGTATTCCGTTTATGCAAGTAGCCCAGCATCTAATAGTCTGTGGGTATTGCTTGATGAAATGAACCCACGAGAACCGACTTCTATTGCCAAAAGTTCTACCTCATAGCCACTGTCTTCAATGTCTCTGACGAGGGACGAGTATTTATCAACTTTATATTGATGGGCCTTATCGATTCTAAGTTCAAATGGGACTGTCAGCTCAATGATCATGATTTTTTTACTTTTTTCATCGTAGATACAAAGGTCAGGTCTCAGGTTTGTTTGGGTACAAGACAATGGGATTGTTGAGACGGGAGTAGCCGATTAAATAGGGAATATCATGAAGGATTTTTGTATCGGGCGAAGTACTTTCTGTGATGAATTCTACAAAGCATTTTAGTACATTGTTATGGCGCCAGGTGTATCGCCCTTGAGATAGAAATAGTGAACAGCAATTAAGAACATGGTTCAGTGTCTCAACACAATCGCAGTGCCTGCATTTGTTTGTTGCAGATTTGCCCCATCTCAGTAAATTTGCCCTTGTGTTTACAGAATCGGTAACAGCATTTACGAGAAATTTAAGGACTTTCACTGGCAAATTATACATGATGCTCTTCCAAATCGTACAGTTACTTTCTAGCGATAGAAGATCTAGAAATTTCCCTTGAACTACATGTACTAACTCTTTAGCATGTGTATGCCAAATGGTAGAGACTTCGTGAGTTAGGATTTTTTTTGCCTCTCTTTTCTTTTCCTTGAGTGTTGGATGCCCTTCAACAGATGAGTAAACCTCATTACTTTTTACAATCGTGGATTTTTTCCTCACCCATTTCGACTCACGTTGCAATTGAGAGTCTAAACAATGATTCACCAAATCGTCCCCGTTCACCCTCATGGATATGTGAGAAAGAGTATGGCATTGGTTGTACAAATCGGAAATGGACGGGATGTCTAATCCATTTTGCATATGAATGAATGCTAAGGTTCCTGGTCTTGCTAGACCACACCATTTCTTTACAAAGCGATTTGAAAGCATATCTAACGATTTACAATGAGTATGTCATATCATTCACTGTCGGGTCAAATCTCAATGATGGCAATAAAGTAACGTGAATATACCTTTAGTTTGTACTCATTACGAACGAGAGAGGTATCAATATTCTTCAAACATTTTATTATTTTGCTAGAGAGATATTCATGAATGTCTGAAGAAGTAAGGTTCTTGGTAATAACAGCCCGAGATATTTATGTACTTCATTACCGACTGAGGATATTTGGTCATCACCAACTGAAAATGTAACATCACTGAATCTACCAGATGAGAAGGACAATGATCGACACTTGGACGGTTTGAGACGGAGATCCATCGATTTAATATGTTGGTCAATCTCATTCATTAATCTTTGGTGAGATCGCTTGTTACCGGTGATCAAACAGAAATCGTCCGCAAAAGGTGCGGTTATAATGCGTTCTCCATCCAAATCGTATCCAAATGTCGAATTGACCTTCAAAAACTGATCGGATCAAAACATAGTATAAACACTATTAATGGAGACAGGGGGTCCCCTTGGAAAATACCCCTTTGGAATTGAAATTCAATAGAGACCCATTCTTTTGTTCGAACTTGACCTGACAACGAACTGTACAGGTTCCTAATATAACATTGAATCAAAGGTGGAAAATCATGTCTTTGTAGGGTAAAATGGATTAGCTTGTGATTAACCAACCCAAAAGCGTCAGCCAAGTCAAACCATGTAACATGAATGGATCGATTTTTTCTCTTTGCATGGGAAAGTACTTCATGCATAACCACGTTGTGTTCAGTACAACCACTTATTCCTTTTAAGAAGGCTTTTTGCAATGTATTGTCAATGAGATCATTATCTAGCATAAAATGTTCAAATCGTTCAGCCAGTATCTGATTGTATATATCTTTTACCAAACATGACTAAAACTATGGAGAAAATGAACCTTGAGAAGTGCACTGTACGAAACAAATGGTCATTTTAAAAAAACTTAATTTCTGTGGTTTTTTTCACTATTTGGCTATAAAAAAAAAGTTTTGAAGTTGAATTTATTCTTTCTTGTAATTTTTAAATTCTAGTATTCAATAGACAGTAAATCTGTATAAAAGCTTCTGATTCATTACCAATGAGTTTAAATTGATGAATAACAAAGAACAAAGTACTACGTAATGATTTGACTGTCACACTTGATGCAGTAGTTCCACAGCTTCCACTGTTCTTGTCTGTGATATGTTTTTTAAGCAAACAACGTGATTTGGCAGATTATTTTTAACCATTATCATCATCTCGTACACTCACCTTTAATTGTTTGCATTACCACAGAATTCTATGGTGTATTGTGCAGTCTTTCCATTGTCATAACCTTGTACAGGGCAGTGACAATAACATTTTGATGTGCTGTTCTATTTTCCCCCGCTTGAATAAATTGGTTATGACCCCGATTCTATGAGGGGAATATTATGTAGTGACACTGTAGCTGTCTTGATAAAGGAATGAATCTAGATGTACATGTGTGTATTAAAATGTACATCTGTATACAGTATGAGGAAGTAAGGAATTGCATTTTTTTCACCCATTTTTGGACAGGTCATTTTTTCTGAAATGCAAAATATTCAGACCTGTGTTTTTTGGTGTTATAAATATAAAGGTGTATTTTAAAAACAATGTAATGTAATGAAAAGACAGGATGTGATTAATATAAGTAATGATATGACATATTTTAGAATACCAGTATGTTCATTGAATCTGTCACCCCCTATATTTTTGAAGCACATCATTTTTTAATCAAAAAATATTTGTTGCATTTTGGGGAGTAAAACATGTTGGTTTGGACCTCTATTCATCCATCTTTTAAATATTACATTTTGAAAAGTTATGTACACGATTTTTATTGGATTTTTTAAGGAAACGCATTGTAAATGCTTTTTAATAATGTATATCATTACCACTTCTAAAATTAGTATTTCATAATCTTAACTTAAAACAAAAACAAAAACAAACACATACCATATATACACTTGTATTTACATGCTAGGCCTGCAATTGATGACTTTTCTTCTAAGTGTATGTATATCCTAGAACACATACCATATTCAAGGGCAACTCTAGTCAGTTCTGCTCCATCAAGTTTGGGCAGAAGTCATTTTGAAGGATCCACAACAAATTCTGAAAGTGATGTTTATATTAACCATTGGGCTAGATATTAGTTTTTGTGATGATAGTTTCTTTGTATCCAAATTGAATTCAAATTTGATGATGTCTTGTACACAGTGGCCCATGCTACAAGAAGGTTGTTGTCCTACAGACGGAGAAGAGTAGTCCTAAGAAGAAGAAGAAGAAGCAAGCACACACCGTTCAGCTGATTAACATACCACCAACACCAGAGGGACAGAAGAGGTTCTCTCTGTCGCTGGAAGAGAAACAGGCCAAGGAATCAAGCTCCAGTGAAGATGTACCGGTAGCTGCTCAGGGCAAGAGCATCTGTATATCAGAGTGAGTATGAAGAAGAGGAAAGGGAGAGGGAGAGCTGAGAGGGTGTGGTGGGGGGGGGGGGTAGAGATAAATGGGAAAAGAGGGAGGTGTAGGATGGAGGGAAGGAGAGAGAGAGGGGGAGAGAGAGAAAGGGAGAGATGGAGAGAGAGGGAGGGATAGGGTGAAGAGACAGAGAAAGAGTGATATAGAGATGGGGAAGGGAACTGAAAGTAACAGGACAGAAAGTACAAGGAAGTGGTGAGACGGAGATGGAGCAAGAGAGAGAGAAGGGAGGGGGAATTAGTCAGAGAAAGAGTGTGTGAGAGGATGAGAGAGAGAGAGAGTGAGAGAGAGAGAAGGAAGGAAACATGGAGAAAGGGGAGTTGGGGGAGGGGAATTGGATAAGAGAAAAAGATGCCAATAAGGAATAAGAAAGGAAAGCAGGAATTGCATGAGGAAATTTATATTTTATTTTTTATTGTGTACTTTGGAATTAACAATGGAGAAAAAAAACGACCATAGAAAAGGCTCAAGATTTTTACCTCTTCTTTGTATTTAAAATCGAATGACAGTTTTATGAATGTTATCCCTGCAATATTGAATTACATTTATAGATAGACAATTTGCAATTCTCTGTAATTAGTAAAAGTCACTAATATGACCTTCAAATGTCAATCACACTATAGACAAAGAATAATTGTCCATTTCATCACCTTGCGTGACAGATAATGAACCCTACCAGGTGGGTTGCCTTTCCCTTCTAACCTAATAAATAGCCTCCTGTATTGCCTCGTACAGAAGGCGTGCTCTCCGATTCCTCTCGTCATTTCACCAATCTCTTCAATAATGAATCCTAATTAAATTTCCTCTCCAATGTCTTGGTTAATGCCCCGGGATCTCTAGCAGGTCTCTCTAGGCCTGTTATCATCAGCTCGAGATTGCCAAATATCCCGCTATTTGAACTATCCCGATCGCAAATTATCCAGTTAATTTGCGTCTTCAGCAGCACGAAGTTGCAATTAGCGGGATATTTGGTCGAGTTAATCATCCCAAGATATCTTGGGCAAGTTTGCATATATCCCGCCATTTTTCTGGTGCGTCCTCACCAACCCGATGACTCGCACTATATGCGCGAACGCTGAGCTAATTTCTCGAGCTCGAGTTTCAAGTTTCGAGGTCAAGTCTTGAACTAATGAAGACGCGATTTGTAACTTCAGGATTATTTCCCAAATCAGAAATAGCGGGCTTTTTGGCAATCTCGAGTTGATGAAGACAGGCCTTCTTGCAATATCTTAAGGGGACGGTCATACGCTTCTTGGGTGATAAGGTAGTTGAGGTAAATGATTCTTGTGTCCATTCATTTTTAAAGATACATTGTCCTTTATATGCAATGATGTAGACATTTAATAAAAGTTACACAATCAGAGTTCGATTTCATTGTATTTCTTATTTGATTTCTCACTAGAAATAGCTACTTTATTCCTGAAAGACATTAATTTCAATCATGTTGTTGTTACACTCACTCAGCATTTTAAAGACTCATTCCAGTGTAATTGTATTTTTTTAATTTTTTTTTGGGGGGGGGGTGGGGGGATTGTTTACATCAAATTTTTGATGAGTTTCCTGATTCCTGGTCACTTGCTGTGCCCTTTATCTGTGTATGTTTTTGTCCATCCCAAACATAGAAAGAGGAAGCGATTTCATTTGATTTGACAACCTTGTTATTCATTCCCCCTATGTGCAGTTTGGAGACTACACCTGAGACGGTATCTCTTCAAGTAGGAGATAGGATTCTGGAGGTTAACGGTACACCTGTCACTGATCATAACATATCAGAGGTAACAGCAATTAACATACACTGTACTACTAGTCTAGCTATCTACATGTATTTAGTATTTATTTTTTATTTTTTATATATTCATTGCAACAAAAATAATAATAATAATGATCTGGATTTATTTAGGTCTTATTTAGTGCTCTAAGTATTCCAAATCTGTTTTCTAGATTCCTTTGATTTTAGTTGATAAAAAGAAAGACACATGTCAATTGTAAACAGCTGTTCATATTTTAACGAAGCAATTAGCAAAAGATGAGAGGTGACAAATAGTGGTGTGGTTACAGATACAGTAGTAAATTGGTCATAAAGTGGTTTGATTCGAGTGAACTGATTTTTAACATATGACCAGGATCAGAATGCTTGCAGGTGCTAATTATTGTAGCACTTGTAGTTTGTTATCATTATTTATTTATTTAAAGGGATACACTACACAACATACGGAAGGCATTTAAATTCATCTAAAAAACAAAACTCTGATATCCCTTCAGTCTGACCCTGCAGTAGGAATACTACCCAGGGAATGGAGATGGAACTTATTGCGTAAATATACAGTCAAACCTGTCTACAGCGATCGCCCAAGGGAAACACATGAAGTGGTCTTTGTAGACAGGTTCCTTTATTACATGTTTCATTAAGAAACTATTTTCAAGAGAAACAATAAATGTGCTTGTTGTAGACAGGTGGTCTTTGTAGACAGGTGATCACTAAAGCAAGTTTGACTGTAGATGGATCCGATGACCGGGTTATACAAAGTGCTTTGAGATGGTATTGTAAGTGCTATGCACATCCACAATTATTATTCTTATTTTATACTTCTGTTTTCTTGTCAACTAATGTATAGATTGACAGAATACTGAGTCAAAGGACATCCCAGCTTCGCATCACCGTAGAACACGGCCCATCTTCCAACCCCGTCCCCGACGTCTGCGGGATCTTCAGTAGTCGGTCCAGCAGCGAAGAGAGCAACTCCCCATCCTCCTCCAACGAGCCGGAGTTTCCTTCAATCAACAACAACGTTCAAGCATCACTCTCCGACTGTTCACCGTCGTCGGGCGAGAGAGGGCGTCTTGGTGTGTTCAACTACGAGAGGAGACATATGAAGCTAGATAGGCATGGCTCAGCTCCCAAAGTGTAAGTACTGTAAAACCTGCTTTAGTAACCACCTGTACAGAAAGACCACCTGACTATAAAGACCATACTTTCTGTTTCCCTCGAATAGTGTTTCTCTTTGAAACATGTACCAAAAGAGAGAAAGGGCGTCTAGGTGTGTTCAACTACCAGAGGAGATATGAAGCTAGATAGACATGCCTCGGCTCCCAAAGTGTAAGTATTGTAAAGCCTGCTTTAAATAGCAGCCACCTGTATGGAAAGACCACCTGTCTTTAAAGACCATACTTTCTGTTTCCCTTGAATAGTGTTTCTCTTTGAAACATATACCAGAAGAGCAGGTACTTAAAGACCCCCTGCCTGAAATGACTGCTTTCCTTGTCTACCTTGAGTTGCCTTTATATATAATTTCATCGTTTTTAATTCCTGAAAGTGATTTGAAATGATAAAATGATAAAACTGTTATGAAGGATTCAATATGTACTGAATGTTTTTGTCATTACACCACTCAGGGAATGTACATGTACATGTAGCTGGTTTTTAAGTGATATACATGTATGGTTTGATGGTTTGTTTTACCTGACTCAGTGCTAAGAAAGCATGTGTGTGCTTGTAAGTGAGCAACCAGGGGACCGACGACTTTAAGTCCTCTCCGAGGGACTAGGTAATGAGGATTAATGCCTTACGAAAGGGCACTAGCGCATCGACTTTACTTGGTTTAGAACCCGGGACCTCCTGGTAATGAGACCGCTGCTCTACCAATAAGCCATCACGTCTCTCCTTCAATTTTGATTTTGACTTGGACTCGCAGTGACCTATGATCAGTATGGGTTGGAGCCATACCAGCCATCATTGTGAATCATACGTGCAGCATGGCAGTGATGTCAGTACACAGATCTCGGATTATCAACAGGAACTTGGCCAAAACAAGCAACCGGAAAGGAAGTTCGTGGGTTGAGGGTTTATATACACTAATGGGAAGTAGCGGATGAGAGATTAGTTTCGGATCAATTCCTGGTATATATATATCTCATCTTTAGATAGATACGTGATTGATGACTTGTAACTTCATATGTTTTTTTATCCGCCGTGTTAGTGCTTGGTCACACCCTCCTTGAAAGTTTTGTTTGTTTTTGTAGGAAACATTTGGAAACATTTGGATAACATACGTGTACCTGTAGTCATTGTTTATGTTGAAATATATACATTCATGATCAGAAATGTTGACTCACAATTTTTCAATGGAATCATCACAAAACATACCAGAGAAAATAGTTCTCTCTCTCTCTCTCTCTCTCTTCCTTCCTCTCTCTGTTTCTCGTTGTGTGTGTGTGTGTGTATGTGTGTCTATCTCTCTCTCTTCTCTTTCTTTCTCTTTCACTTTCTTCATCTCTCCCTTTCACTTTCACTTTTCACTTTTTGTCTTTCTTTACTATGTATTCACATGAAGAAAATGTATGAGCCATCTATTGTGAAAGCCTTCAATCATCGTCTTCATGTTTTATAGAACAATCAATCATTAGATAGTTGAAAGTTACCTGATTATGATAACAAGTATTTTTAGTAATTTCAAGAGATCTCTTTGGGATTTTCAAGCATAATAAAAAAGACTTCTTTTCAAACTATCTTGTTTTCTTTAAATATTAAAGTAAAGGCAAAACCGGTCTTTTCAGGCTTCTTTGTACTTCATGTCACATCACTTTTGCTCTGCTATACTTTATTTCCTTTCACATCAGTTGCTCATCGCTGCATAGCCATATCGAGGGGTCAGTGACACAAAGACGTAACTCCATCATGGCCATTTTGAGAAAAAGTGGTTTATGTGTCACTGAGCACTTGGGCCTTAAGGAGTTCAGTCTATGTTTCACTAGCCATTGACTTCAATGGGGTGTTGGGTGGAGTGAAGTCTTTGTGTTTCCTGGAAAGCCCACATTTTTCTGAACATTTTGATATCAAATACTCATTTTGGCAAAATATGGAGTTACGTCTTTGTGTCACTGAACCCTCGATATAGTCGTTTGGTTTCTCTAGGACTTGAGTCATTTCAATTTCCCTTGCTTTCCGGACACCCATGTGACCAGTAAGCTGGCTTTGAAAGTAAAGCTTTCTGCACAGATGTTTTTACTTCCTCTACAAGGTACGAGGAAATGTCACCCAGATTGAGTTTGGAAATACCCTCTTTAATTTTCCTGTCTTTTATTGATCGTGATGTCGAGAATCCCAACTTATACAGGCTTAGTTTTCAAGCTTACATGCACATGTACATGCAGCTGAAAGGATAAATCACATGGTCTAAGTGAGGCAGAAGGGGGGTTAGGTGATATGGTTTAAAGTTAATCTTAAGTCCTTTGGTAAACTTTCTCATGGTAATTTTTCTCAGAATCAAACCTTAAACTGAATGTTATTGATGACTCATGAATGATATCTGCCAGAAAATTTTCTGAGAAATTATCTAATCGCTTGATGTATTAAATGAGCAAAGAAGGAAGTGAAAGTTGAGCTACTGCAGTAGTCCCTACCCTGGAGCTCACCATATGGTCTCATTTGATTAAATGCAATTTGAGCAAATTTCTCTTAATAGTCGTTTGCTAACAGTTTCCCTGTTCTAGCAATCTTTCTACATGTACTGCCTGATGAGCACTTCATAATCTATTTTTAATAGAAGCACATTTTTCTTGAAATATAATTCCATTTCCCATACCTACCAGCCTTCCATACTGACAATAAGGAATCTCTTCAGGTAATATAATGAATTATGGATTTTGTTTTATTTGTATATTTCTTTATTTATTCATTCATGGTATAATACAAATTAAAGCATCCAATTCCTGAATTGTTCACATTTTACAAGCAAATAAAATAATCCATAGAATACAATTTTTCAAATCATACAAATGCCATGGTCAATAAATGATAATCAGGGAACATAACCACTGTGGTTTAAATAATTCAACAACAAAAATTTATAGGACAAACATCTGAAATCATAAAACATAATTCCATGGAGAGCATTAACTGCATTTTAGATCAGTCATATGGTATTGATAATATTGTTAAACCACTTATTAAAATTTACTAAAGGTTGTTTGTTTTTATAAAAGGAGAGGAGCCTAGGGTGCATAAGATATGTTTGAAGGCCCAAGTTGTGAATCATTCCTCCAAGTTAGGAATGGTGGAGAGCTATTATTACCTGGGGGTAGTTCACAAGGACTAAGATCGACTTTAAGTTTGACTTAACTATGGCAGGCCATTAACCCTTACTGTACTGGGGGGAGGGGGGGGCCTTGGAGGCCCCCCCCCCCCTCAACATTTTTGGAGATTGCGCCGCAACCACTTGGAATTTTGAATTGTCGTTTCAGGACTTTTTTCCCTCGAGTATTACCCACATTTTGATACCATTTTCGTCAAAATCGGATATACCTGTAAGGTGTTACATAACAATTAGTATGCGCATGTCATGAAAAATATGCTATAATTGCATATGTGACCCCGCACCACAAAACAAACAAAAAGTCGCAAAAAAATTATTTTCCTGATTTCATCTGATTATGAAAGAAGAAGTTCTCATTAAAATGGTATATTACTTGTCCAAATTGAAGCTTCCTAACCCTTTCAATTTAGTGAATGAAAAGAGCTGGTGAGGGAGGTTACTGGTATTAAATTGTGAGAAAGAGAGCTTTAAAGTTTGGGGCTATTCAAGCATGCGGAGCAAGCAAACCACAGGGAAATCAATAGAAGGGTGAATCAAAAGGCCATAGCAACCACTATGAAGAGATTTTCAGATTAGGCTGAAATTTGGCCTGATGGTCAAACATAGTCTGTTCATTATGTTTCTGAGGTTTCAATGTGTGGACTTAAGTCTTTCAAAAGTTATTATGTTGTAAATGTATAGAGTTGTAATTGGACAGATTAAGTGAACTGCAACATAGTGCCGAGACACCTGCACTAGACAATGCCTATTCATGGTGGACCCGGAGTCTTTTTGTTCCCCCTTACATAACACTGCTTGTCACCTATCTTGTTTTGTATACATCTGGGCAATTATTTGTAACCACATTATGAACTTGCTTTATACTTAATTCCCATACTGTTTTCTTTCTCACAGGAGGTTCAAAGTATTTTCACTATGACTTGCTCTTTCATTTCCAGTAGCCATCCTGATGATAATTAATGGAAGCAATTCATAAATACCAGCCAGAAAGTGGTATCAAAATAAAGAAAGGCAGGAGACACACAGTAAAGACACCAACATAGAATAACGAAAAATAGAAAGAATGAGAGAGAGAGACAGAGAGGGAAAAGAAGGGGAGAATTATGATAGCTGTAAGCAAAATGATGATATCAGAGTGTGAATGCGTGTTTACAATAAGAACTTGATTTCAAAACTCTTATGGGAGAATAAATTTGGAAGCACAGAAATGAAAACAAAATTATTTAGGGAATGTCACAACTCTTTCTCATCCTGTATCACAAGTTTAAAAATGCAACAACTCTCTCTCATCCTTTATCACAAGTTTGAAAATGCAACAACTCTTTCTCATCCTGTATCACAAGTTTAAAATGCAACAACTCTTTCTCATCCTTTATCACAAGTTTAAAAATGCAACAACTCTTTCTCATCCTTTATCACAAGTTTGAAAATGCAACAACTCTTTCTCATCCTTTATCACAAGTTTGAAAATGCAACAACTCTTTCTCATCCTGTATCACAAGTTTAAAATGCAACAACTCTTTCTCATCCTTTATCACAAGTTTAAAAATGCAACAACTCTTTCTCATCCTGTATCACAAGTTTAAAATGCAACAACTCTTTCTCATCCTTTATCACAAGTTTGAAAATGCAACAACTCAAGCTACTCGAAGTCGTTAATGGAGAATATAAGACGAACGCAAATCTGGAACTCGGATGTGAAAGCGGATACAAACAAAATGGCGCGCCGCACTGATTGCTATAACGGACCAATCACAGCCCGCGTAGCACGACCCGTTAGCAACGACCGACCATTTCCGGACTACGATAATTTCGCTCGGGAAAAGTGATCAAATTTTGGAAGAGACCGAAGGCTGTGCGAAAAACAGTGGTCTAGAAAAACCGTTTAAAACACATCTTCTACTATGTTTTAGACTTCCAAATTTTGATACTAGGTACAGAAAAGACCACTCTTTCAGAAAATGCAAAAAAACAAAAATCTATTTTTTTCACCTAAATTGACATTTTAGCTGATTACGGAGAATCGCTGGTTGCGACTTTTTGTTGGTTTTGTGGTGCCGGGTCACATATATTCATGTACAAGCAGAAATGTAAAGACTATGAATTGATATCAAATTGCTTTTATATGTTTCTCAAAGTAACTTGATGTATTCCAGAATAAAGGAATACATTAGAAATAAAACAATAGATATTTAATATGAAATAAAAAAAACAATAACATACAATAGAAAATAAATATTTGAAAATCGCATCAAATTTGCATAAATTATCATTATTAATTACATAGAAAAGAAGTTTCATATGAATAATGGGTTTCAATAAACATTCAAAAAGTGGAGTCTGCACATTTTTTGTAATGATTCTAGTTCCCTGTAAATTTCTAGATTTGATATTCATGAATGCCTATTCATAATTTATGCAAATTAACCTATGCATTTTCAAATATCATAAAAATAATGTAACCTCTTGAATTTGAGATGAAGGAAACATTTATTCAATACATTTTCAACGATCTTCTTAAGTCTACAGACAAATATGAAGAGTTTTCTGTAAAATGCATAAAATTAGCATTTTGCATAATTAATTAGGCTATGATGACAAAAATTTGCATATTAGGAAAAAACTTATTATACTATCTTGTTATTTACGTAAATATCTACAAACATGCAAATTTTTGCGTTCATCGGACTTTCGACGGCCGAGATCATGGGGGGGGGGGGCCTCCCAGACCCCCCCCCCCACCCCCAGTCACGAGGTGCTCAAAATAGCCCAGTACAGTAAGGGTTAATGCCACAATTTTCTCTCACCATTTACTGGCGTTGGTTTCTCAAGGGACGGATAAATCGTGGTCACAAGTCTACATAATTAACATTTTTTGATAGTTCATTATTGAAGGAAAAAATATAATCTCAACATCATAAATGAGAGACCAATAGTGAGAGCAACTAATAGCAAGAATGGCTGCCATAGTTAAGTCCAACTTAAAGTTGATCTTAGTCTTTGTGAAACCCCCCCCCCCCCCCCCCCCCGCCCCTGCTGTGGTTCCTCTTTTGCTGATTTAGAGGAAATGATGTCCATCGATACAGAGGAGGTCATTTCCTAAATGTGCTCCATTTTAAAAATTCACTCTACCATGAGCATTCCCTTCTATGAAACCTGTAGTGTACATGTCATCAGGATGTAAGGGATATTTTGGTTCAGGGGGGTGTTTCACAAAGATCCTAAGTTGAACTTATCTCTAAGTTGGAATTAACAATTATGGAAAGCTGTTAGCATCTATTAAAATATTTTGTAAAAGTTATTTTAAAAGGCATGAAATGTTGATTCAATTCATTCATATTTTTATTTTATCCTGCATCAAAAATTTGTTGGCTTTTGATTGGTTGAGAGCTCGTCACATGACCAGAAATATTTGACCTATTTTTAGAAAGTACCGTACTATATAAGAGTACTATTTGGGTTTTTAAATTGAATCAATTTTTAATGAAGAACAAAATATTTTTAAGCTTTTTAGATAAAAATTGACATTTTTTTTGTTCTAAATTTTTTTTCTCCCAAAAATGTTTTTTTTTTTTTTTTTTTTTTTTTTTTTAAAATAAATTTTTGATGCAGGATATAAAACAAATATACCATGCCTTCTATTTGAGGTACTGGTTAAACTTTGGGCCTCGGGGACTCCAAAAGTACCATTTGCTTCGGGGCTGCGCCCCTCAGCAAATAGTACTATTGGAGTCACCTCTTGCACAGAACCTCTCAAGGCAGTGTTTATTTGTATATTATCAAGGAGATTCATGTTCTTGATGTGGAAATTATAAAAAGTCTAAAATACTTGATTTTTTGCTTTTGAATATATTTTATTTTAAGGCTACAAATGGCTCTCCATAATTTGTAAGTCCAACTTAAAGTTAAGTTTGACTTAGGATCTTTGTGAAACACCCCCCCCCCCCCCCCCCCCCCGATTATTCTAAAAGCTCCAAATTTTGCTTTTTGTCAATGGAAATAGAAAATTGAGACGTGAAGTCACGCTTTCTCTTTCTAATACCGGTAAGCATTCTTTGTCAATATTATTTAAAACTAGTAAAAATAACCTCTCACCAATATATCTCTAAAACACCAATCATTAAAAAAAACACTTAAAAAAACAGAGCCCTAAATCAATACAACTGACTCAGATAATATCCAGTGCAGGTCTGCCTGTCTTTTATTATAGGCTGCAATGCAATGCAAAGTTTATTCAAATGAAATACATCATAAACCAATTGCAAAATAGGAATTAGGTTGAGTAATTGAAGTAAATGAATATGTATAGAGAGAAGAGACTAGAGAAACAAATAGTAACTGTAATGTAACAAATACAAGTATGGCATGAGTCTAATTTTAAGTCTAACATTATAAAAACTACTTTCACTATCATGGCTGGATTTTTTTGTGTGTTTCCATGAAGTCGAGTGATTGGCACAGATCCAACCATAATCTTAGCTGGAACACTGAGTACTCGTTGGGTAAATACCAGTTGTTTTGAAAGCAGTGAAGAGATTTCTTGTTGCAATACAAGGAAGGAAGTCTAGTCACCACTTGGGGTTTTATCTTTTTTTACCCAAACACATTTTGGGTATTCCAGGTGTTTCCAAACAGTAGTTCGGAGGATGACAGTTTACATTTAGGAAATGATGATGAGCGTGTCAAGAGCATTTTGACCAGTGAGTTTGAGATAAGAATCACGTTAAAAGGTGTTGCGTATTTGGATTTGAAACAGTAGACCATGTTTTTCGTGTAATTTGCCGTCATAACATTTTCATTTGGGAACACAGTATGATACGGAGGACATTTGTGCTGTATTAATGCTCTAGTACCACTATATATAGTGGATTTTCTATCTGTTGAACACTGAGAAATGGATTAATTGCTTCTATTTCAGCGATTGTTACTACTCTGTTGGAAAATCAGGAGTGGATTTGATTGTAACTTTGATGATCGTGCCTTGTTCAATGTCCATTTCTTGCTCAGATGTGACATTTTGGAGCCTGTACGTTTAATTACAATAAAAAAACAAGTGCATATTTTCGGTGGCAAGCAGTCTTGTTTGATGTTTTGTGCAGCTACTTTATAAAACACAAGCTCTGAAGTTGCAATAAATGACATCGTTGTAATTTACTGGAAAGCAGTACTGCTTTTGTATCAACCATGAGTTGTGCGGATATTTTTTTTCGAAGCCAGTCACATGACCCCAGTACTGGGTCAAAGGTCATGCATGCATCATCCTGCAACTGGGGAGAAAGGTAAGTACTATTACATGTACACAATGCAGGAATGATTGATCAATGATTATTGACTAGTTTGGAGTTGGTGTGACTGAGAAAATGCTCCATCTCCTTTAGCAATGGATTATAAACTGACTAGGGGGGTGCTTCACAAAGACTAAGATTGACTTTAAGTTGGACTTAAATATGGCAGGCCGTTCATACCACTGTTTACTCTCACCATTTATCGGCATTGGTCTAGCAAGGGACGTAAAAATCATGGTCACAAATCTACAGAATGTACATTTTTTGATAGTTCATTATTGAAGGAAAAATATTATCTAAAGATCATAATTGAGAGACCAATGGTGAGAGCAACCAGTGTCAAGAATGGCGTGTCAAGAATGGCGTGCCATAGTTAAGTCCAACTTAAAGTCGATCTTAGTCTTTGTGAAACACTCCAAAGTAATCAGCAGAATCTTGGTCATTCAAGGTTATGTATTTTTTTTTCTTTCTTCAGTCTAGTGTTGGTCTAGTTTTATGACTGGAATATACAACATTAGAAATGCAAGTGAAAAATCAAGTTTTTTGCAGTTTTCCTCTTTATTACTTTTTTTCGGATTTCAATATCTATCCTGGAATGTAAAGCCGTCGGTCACAGCTATGTAATACTCAGGCCAAAAATGTTTCAAGGAAATCTTCTCCATTTTTATCATTGCAGACACAATAACTATACCGGGCCCCGTTGCACAAAATTTTACCATTGATTATAACTTTGCCATCGATGGCAAAATTACAATCAATGGTAAAGTTCCAATCAATGGTAAGTTTTATGCAACAGCCCCTGGAATGTGGAGCCTTCCTCACTGTTTTCTAGGACTCAGTGGTACTGTGTTGCTCTAAAGATGTTTTGCTTTTTTATTTATTCTTTGCAGACGCAATAACTATCCTGTAATGTGCAGTCCTACCTCACCGTTGTCCAGAACTCAGTCATACCGGGTCTCTAAGAACCAGAGGATATTTCGACCTGCAGATCTCATCAAGGGAGAGGTACTGGGTCAAGGCTTTTTTGGAAAAGCAGTCAAGGTTGGTTCTTTATTATCTAGTCAATACATTATTGTTTGGTTAAGGACGATGTCTCCCTGACAAGCCACAACCCAAATGCCCCCCCCCCTCTTTCTACAACTCAATCTTATGAAGTTACCCTCTGAGAGCAACAAGTCTCTAAAAGTAAAAAATTAATTACTGTGCTTAAAAAAATGCTTTACCGGTATAGTCAGTTTCCTAACACTAATCAAATCACTACCTTCTACCATGCTATGAACTATACCTTATACCTCACCCTAAGTATACCTAACCTAAAACCCTATCACAATCCTAACCGTAACCATACATCCATAATCTAAATATCCACTCTTCCAACGGACAAGGACATGTACATCCTAGGATAACTACTCATTGATATGTATACGTCCTTAAAATTTCCCCAACTATGTGGGGGATGTGGCTGTTACTAAGGTGCCAGAATGGTGTTATCTCTAATCATTTGTATCTGATTGTAACTGTACTGTAAAACAATTTGCAACCGATACTACTGGGTGTTTACTAATGATTGTTTACTTTGTTGTGACTAGGTAACTCATCGGTATACAGGAGAAGTGATGGTTATCAAGGAGCTGGTAAGATACAGTGATTCTGCACAGAGAGACTTCCTAAAAGAGGTGGGTTACATTACTAGCACTTTCATTTTGGATCAACTTTTATCTGATTACATTGTTATACTTTCATTTTGATATACTCTCACTTGGTATTGTTTTCAGTTGATTACCACCAGCTAACAAACAGGATATCTTGACTGATAGCCTTACTTTCATTTTGATGTACTGTACTCTTTTTGGTGTCTTATTAAATATATACATGATATAATATGAAGTAGCAGTTCAAACCAGACTCTTTCGACATATAACCTCTCAGAATGACAAAATCAGTGGATGTGTACTTTCATTTTTTATATCACTTTCATTTGGTGTCATCTTTGAAATGAATACATTATATATTTGGTAGCTGTTAGCAAATAGAATTTTGACAGAAAGTCTTTCATTTTGTGTAAACTTTCATCTGATATAACTTTGGATATACAGTATTTTTATTTGAATGTACTATTATTTAATCTTTGAATTGGAAATTATGGTATTTTTGGTAGGAGTTGCCAAAATTATGACAATTTTGATGGATACCCTTTCATTTTTTAGATAATTGGTGTTGAATTCCCCATGACAGCCCGCTCCAATGTGTCTTACAGAGGGATTCTACCCATTGTTGTCAGTGGTCATTGTGGTTTCCTGAATATCTCTTTTTAACCATCCTGATTATTAACATGTTTATCTTCCTGTCTGTGGTTCCTTCAGGTTAAGGTCCTACGGAGTCTGGATCATTACCATGTTCTCAAGTTCATCGGTGTACTCTACAGAGACAAGAGACTTAACCTAGTAACTGGTGAGTCCAGTTACATTGGATTAATCGTAGTTTGGTGTTGCCTCTTAGTGATGTTTTTTTTTTCTTTCATCCAGAATATTGTTAAATATATATTGTAAATGTAAACGGGCAGAAAAAGCAAAATTCACTGGATGCTTTGTACATTTCTGTTGCAGAACATTGTGCCATATCTAAATTATTTGCAACAAGACACATCAAATATGGGTCTATGGTATACAAGCTACCCTCAGTAATATTAGAATCCTCAGCCTATATATCCTTTTGATAATGTAGATGAATATATCTTGGATACTAGTACTGTGAACACTATACAATATACTGACTTTCATTTTGTCATATCAGAAAGTTTATCATTTTTGTTACAATTAATTAAAAAATAAACAAAAGACACTTACTGTTTCGTCCACCAACATCTCTCTTCGTCTCTCTCTCTCTCTTTCTCTCTCTTTCCTTCTTTTCTTCTCTCTCCTCTCTCTCTCTCTCTGTCTGTCTGTCTCTCTCTCTCTGTCCTTCTTTTCTTCTCTTCTCTCTCTTCTCTGGCTCTATCCTCTCTCTCTCTCTGTCTCATTCTTTCTCACCCCCTCTCTCCCTTCTTATTTGAAGCCTTTGAACATGTTTGTTGTCTTACACATGTAGTTGTCAACAATTATTTTCCTCTATATCATGATTTTGATTATTTGAAATCTCTGTTTACTTTCCTAGAGTTTGTTGGAGGAGGGACACTAGAGAATATTATCTCTGATCTTGTAAGTACTTATTCATTACCATTATCTTATTTAGACCTGGAGAAAAAAAAATTAATTAAATAAATACCTATTTAAGGGTACATTGTACAGTTCACTATTAAAATGATATGCTTTTTAGTATGATTGTATGTTTGATGTAAACTTGCATTTTTAGTCTTTGGACTTTTTGACAAGTCTTGAATAAAACCTCATTTGAATTTTTGACAAGTCTTAAATAAAACCTCATTTGAATTTGAATTTGAATTTGAACTGGTGAACTTTCTGCCCTAGCATACTGCTAATTGCACAGCGCCATCTCATGGTGAACTTGCCAACAGTGCGTGACCCAGTATCCAATTTCGATTCTCAGACAGAGGCCTCGATGCGAGAACCTACAGCACAGGGAGCTGCATGACCATACTGCTACAGCTGACCTGAGATGGCGCTAGAGGAACTTTGTGGTAGTGCTTCTAGTACAGTTAAAGGATGACAATAAATGTCATGAATTTGATTTAAATACTGTATTTTCCAACTGAAACTTTGAGGGTTCAGTGACACAAAGACGTAACTCCATATTTTGCCAAAATGAGTATTAGATATCGAAATGTTCAGAAAAATGTGGGCTTTCCAAGAAAAACAGACTTAACTCCATCCAACACCCCAATGAAGTCAATGCTTAGTGACACATAAACCACTTTTTCTCAAAATGGCCAAAATGGAGTTTCGTCTTTGTGTCACTGACCCCTCCACTTGTACATTTCATTTTGATTAATGACAGTCACTTTCATTTCAATCTGAGTACTACAGGAACTTTTAAATCATATATAATTTTCTTGTCTTTGATGTACAGGATAAACCGTTTCCATGGCTGCAAAGAATAAATGCTGCAAGAGACATTGCTTCAGGAATGGTAAGTTTTATTCTTTTGTTTTTGGTGTTAAATCTAGGCCTATAGATGTGTCAGAAATAAAAACTAATACTGTAATGATTAAACACCAATGCATAAATCTGGACATTTGGTATTATATACTGTAAATACCTATTCTCTCCTATTGATTACCTAGGAAGGAGGAAAGGTATTACCCGGTAGTCAATAATTTATCTGCATGAAGTTATGAATGTCATCAATTTTTGTGGCATAATTTTAAAAGATCTTATCTCTCCCATAACCCCTTTATTTCTGAACCTTTATTTATACATCAACACCTTTTTTTTCTCTCTCTTATAGTCCTACCTTCACTCGATGGGGATAATCCATAGAGATCTCAACTCAAACAACTGCCTTGTCAGGGATGTAAGTATATTATGATAATTGGATAAGAACCCTTAGATTTGCAGCATTAACTATCTGTTTAGTCTGTTATGTAATTATCTTCAAGATTTGATTTGCTGTGTTAATTATCTTTCTATGTTACCAAGATAATAATATGATCTTAACGACCAACGATAGCCCTATTAGAACTTCTTCTGTTCCTCCTGAGGGCCCTGCAATCAAATTACTTTCTGGATTTGAGATTATAAAAGGAACTCTTTTTATCAACATATTTTAAAAATGCTATGCTTGAACATATTGATCTATATCAGGGATGCCAGTTAGAATTGATCAGTGGGCCTCAAAATCACCTAGAATGAGCTATTTTGTACACAAAAAAGCCTAAACTATGGCCTGAAAATAAATCAGCAGGGCCTGAATTCAGGCTTTTGCCTGAAAACTGGCATCCCTGCTATATGTTTACCTTTGTTATATTTTTTGTTTTACTGTTTCAGTGGAGATAAATTTCATTTGAATGTATTGAATTGATCACTTTCTTATATGACATGGCTCTTCTCTTTTCCTATCAGCAATGTGACAATAACAATAAATAATAATAAAAACGTTACTTATAAAGTGCTTACCACTGGAGTCTCTAAGCGCTAAAATAATGACAATAAGTTGTAAATAAAATTATTTTAGATTTCTTCTTGAGACGTTGATCATCCATCATTGCTGCCTCTTGTCTTTTTCAGGATGGCTCTGTCGTCGTAGCAGATTTTGGTCTTGCCAGGGTATTCATTGATGAGAATGACAGTCGATGTCCAAACTCCTTTGGTCCGGGTAGGGATAAACACAAACCAGCCGGTCGTAAGAAGCGCTATACCATGGTCGGCACAGCATTCTGGATGGCTCCTGAGATGCTGAAAGGTACGATTCATTCAGAATTCTTCTCTCCTGCAGTAACTTTTTTTTTAATTGTGTTTTTTGCGTTCACATGTTCATATCTTCAGCTTGCAAGCATATCTGCAAAACAATATACATGAACATATGTAGCCATAAGCCTGTTAATCTTAGTCTCGTATCATTAACTGCATTTTTGTAGATTTTGTGGAGGGGACATCCCCCCCCCCCCCCTCAGATTTTTAAAAGTTACTGCAATTAAACAATTTCTTCAGATAAGACGTAATACTTTGTTTGCATAAATTAAATGGCAATAGGCAATGATTGGTAAAAATATAGCTTTGAGAATCGTTGCCTCCTACACACTCTTACTGGGCCCCATTTCACAAAACTTGTCATCAGTGATAAAGGACAGTTTTTGTGAAATCCTTGCTCCTGATTGATTATCAGTAGGTATGTCACTGATTTTTGTCATTTATCATTGAAAAAGAGGCTTTGTGAAACAGGTCACTGGTTTGTTTGTTATAAGATGCAGGTGTGTTTGTAAGGTTATAGGATGTTCAATCCAGCAGTTGATATGTCTATGGTATATATGGTTATCCCCCACAGGTAAAGACTACAATGAGAGGGTAGATGTCTTGGCATTGTCATGTGTGAGCTAATTTAGTGTTCAATCTAGGAGTTGATATATGTCTATGGTTATCCCCCACAGGTAAAGACTACAATGAGCGTGTAGATGTCTTTTCATTCGGCATTGTCATGTGTGAGTTGATTGGGAGAGTGAGTGCCTGCCCGGATGATTTGCCACGGAGCGGGGACTTTGGACTAGATGAAGTGCCTTTCATGGCGCAATGTTGTGATACCTGTCCCAAGACATTCCATCAGATCATGCTCATGTGCGTCAGGATGGACTCTGATGAAAGGTACGAGCATATTGTATTTGAAACCTCATATATTTATCTTTGTTTTGTAATGATAAATAAGGGTTAGTTTTTCATGAATTTGGTTATAAAAGTACACTGGAGAGCGAGCTCTTGAAGTGTCAATGTTATATATGATATGATACTTGAAATACATTATAATCAATATACCGACATGTACAGCAGTCCATATTTCAATTTTTTTTTTAATTCTAAAGATGCAGTCCTTAAAAAAGACTCTGTAATGGAACTTTATAATGTCATTCTCAGACACCAAGTGAAAAAAGACACTTTTTCTCATACTTCCTTATTGTTGTGACTTACATTTGTATGGCTTTATGTGTATTGTACCATGTGAAACATTGACGGTGACAGGTATGACATTTTTAGTAGAAATCGCAAACTTAATGGCGACATCACCAATAGAAGGGAAAATGGTTAATTGTTCCTTTATTTCTTTTGTGTTGTTCAGGCCTTCGTTCGATGAACTGGACCAGAGATTGTCCTCCTTTTCTCTTCACTTTGAGAGACTTTCACCCCGTGCCAAAGACCTGGAGAGTTATCATATATCACCCACTGAAGATCCACCACCTAAAACCTGAACGAGCACCCAGCCCAGGCATGAGAAGGGAACGGTTACCAGTCTGGAATCAAAAACTCGAAAGGACAAGAATGATAAATCCCTGTATACAGGTGGATGACATTTAAACAAGTTCCCTGATCATTGTTTATCATCCGGCCTTTTCTTGCTGCTGCTGCTGCCTTCTAATATGAATATAGTCATTTTCTTCTATACTTCCAATATCTGCAAGAAGGGGCACGGTGTATACAATTTCATTTTATTTATTTCATTTATCGTACCCTGTAAACATACCCTGTATCATTGCTGCATTATCAAATGATATGTATGCATGTGGACAGTGCCATAGGTGGAAAGCACCGTAGTCACAAGAAAGATTTCTTCTGAATTTTTTTTTCATCTTCAATATATTAGAAAATGTTGTCAGAGTAGGATGAAATATGTAAGATTTAAGGATTAATTGTTCTTAAAAAGGGTCTTTCCGCTCATGGTATGAGAAAAATATACATAAATTCCAGTATTTGGTGCATAATCTTAGTAATGAACAGGGTTATTATTAGAGATTAATGTAGGTTATTTATTTTTATACCATTATTGTACAAATATGTATGCTAAGATTTTTACAGAAAATGTTGTTTTAAGCTTTTCTACAAACACTCATGTGGTTTAAGATTAATTAATCATCTTGAACACCCAAGTACTACTTCCAACTCGATTGGAAATCAGTGGAATTATCAATGTTTACTAAATTATATTTGTGGGTTCTTTATCCACCTAATAACTTGAACGATTTAATAATACATTTTATTTGTTTGAAAAATAAATATTTGTTCTTCTTTCTTATTTGTCTTCTGAGCAAATCTTTAATATAAATGAATCATATGTCATTTCAAAATGAAATGATGCAATTTGTCAGTAGTTTGCAGGACTCCTTGCCTGCTGTACTGGAGAATTTATTGGATCTAGCTATTTTCGTCAAGCGTTCAGCAAAAAAATTGTTTGAAAATTTTGAGGGAAGTGTATAGAGAAGACAAATATGAAATTGTTGAAGTTTTATTCATGGAGTATGATATAGTAAGCCCAATTTCAGAATTGCTGTTGCAGTGTCAAGTTATCACATTCCTCAATCTGTCAATGATTAACAGTAATACGTCAATTGTTTATTTGTTGTTTCCTTTAAAATATGAAAATGTGGCCTACCTATAAACCACTGTTACTTGCCAAATTAGTAGAATCAATTTGTAAGAATTTTGAAGCAATATCAAAACTGAAATCTGAATACCAACATATTGATATTCAAAAGAAATGGCCAGCTTCTTCTCATTTAACGTCAATGAATGCTCGCCTCGTGTGTCATGTATTTGCCAAATTTTTACAGCTCTCTTTTGAACTATATGGATCTGCATTTTCAGATGATGTTTACTGTATAAGCTTTTTAAAGGCAATAATTTGTACCAACATTTTTTGTTGGAACTCTTAACTGTTAAAGAGATGTGATATGCACTTGTTTCCAAAGGGCCAAATTTTGCCAAATTTTAACACAAATGTTTGTCTTTTCAAGGGCTTTTATTTGGGTTCTTTCAAAGACGTGTGCATGCATCATCAAAACAGCTGAATTTTTATAGATTTTTTCTCTTTATTTATTGTGCAATGTTGAAAAAGAGATTTGGATATACTTTCTAATAATGTAGTCTTTCAGTGTTAATGAGAAATTTCTATTTAGATTATAGATTATTAAATCTTCATTTCATATACTATATTTGCCAGATATCGTAATGCTTTCATAGAATAAACATATTATAGTGTTTGTGGTTGTCTGAAAATAATTAATGTACGTTTAGGTTCTGCTTTTTTCACCAAGGAATTTGTTTTTTACGACATTGAATAAAAGCTTGAAAGTTTTGTCAAATGTCTGTAAACCTGTTATTAGATCAGGAACAATAACCCTTCAACTCAAAATGCTTATTTATATCTTGTCAAGTGTCAAAAAATCTCTTACTAGTTTTGCCAAAATTAAGTTTATAGTTTGTACCGGTAGTTGTACTGAGCAAACTGTTACTTTTATGATTGATAAAAAAAAATGATTTGTATCAAAAAGAAAAAAAAAGCATTTGTTGGTTTTGCAAGTGGTGGCAAAAATTATATTTTAACACTAAATAATTGGGATTCGTGAAATTCACATGCTGCTTAAATGACCATTGTAATGTTAACTGATTTGTAAGTTTCACGCTGAGATAGTTACTGGTTTTACAATATGCCCGTCATCATAACTCAAACTTGTTCTTTGTCCATGGTCCATATCGTGTCTAATCAACGTAGAGTCTGTTCAGCCTACCGTATCGCATGTTCTAGTATGCTTTATTGAAGGGAAAGACCAATAATACAGATTAAATGGAAGAAAGTGTGGCAATAAGAAGAGTGAAGGAAAGGTGGATATAACATCATCTCCATTTTTTGATGAATTACATAAGCATTGAAAATGTGCATGTGCCTGCATGATAGGGATGATTGGATGCAATCACTTTTTAATTTTTTAAATATTTTTTTCATGGATATGAACTTCTCAAGCACAGACCTTGCCTCTCTGTTTTTCATACATTCCCTTAATGTATTTCTCTCTCTTTCTCATTGTCTATTAGTTCTTTCCTTTAAATTTCTCATATTTTGAGGCTAAAGATAATAGCCTGATCAGTGTTCAGTTACTTTCGTTCAAACTTCACGTTTGGATTTTGTAAGCATTTAAAAATTGCACTTGCACGTACATACATGTATGCAGACAGCGTACACCAATATTTGCTATGATCAATCGTTTCCACAGTTACTTTCACAGTGCAATCGCATGACCAGAATCTTTGACAATTCAAATTATCCATACACGTGTACAAGGGAAAAACAGAAAATTGGTATTGCAGGCCGTACTACAGAATAGTGTTTATAGTAATACTTGAATTTTATTCCAGAATTTTTTATTTTGTGTTGTTTGTCATTATGTAAACACATTTTAATAAATTTGAATCTTTTATGAGGTAAAATATTGCAAGTATGGTATTTGTGTGATTTTTTTATTAGAGTTTAAGGTAAAGACCAGTTTTGGAAACACCTCCATTTAAAAAAAATGAAATGGAAGCTCTTATTACCAATCATGTGAAAGAATATGTTTTAACTAATACGTGATGATAAATATTTTGCCGGAAACCGCCTACTAATTGATATATTTGGTAAATTATTATATCTATCTGGACTGGATAGATATAGGGTAGTCCCATATACATCTTTCTGTGTACAAAGCTCTTAACTTTACCAAAACTGGGCCAAATTTCTTATCATATTGATGATTCCAGAACCTTGCAGTACTGCTAATACTTATATGCTAGATGATCAACTTTTTCTGATCGATTCCATGTTTCTTTCACAATGCAATCACATGACCAGAAATGGTCTATACCTTCAAACCAAGAAAAATCTTGTTATTTACTGATATCAGAGAGGACCTTGGAATATCAGACAATCACAAGTGAAACTAATGATAAAAATATTGCAGCTAAAAGTTTATAAACCGCTGATCTGATAATACATCATGCATTTCTGTTTCCATTGAGGTGATAATGCATTCCATTCCATTTTTAATTTAAATTTAACAATACATCAATTTAAAGAGACACGTTCAACTTTCAGTTTTGCTAAAATATATTTCATGGTAGACATGTATATATTAATTGATGGAAAACAAGCATCAGTTTCAATGGCTCTATATTGTTAAAGAAATGATATAACCTTCGTTGTAATTCTAATAAACTCTCTCAATGCCCAAAGTGACTCGAACCACTCATATTTCATATGGTACTGTCATGTCTTTGACTGTGCTTCTTATAATACAAAATGGAAAACACGTTTTGAAAGTAAATATTGTCATATAATATCATTGAGTGATGCTTCCATTAAGAAGTGCTAGAGTTTGTCTCACAATTCTTTTCCAAATACATTTTGATGTGTGTGTGTGTAATAAGGTGGTACCGTAACGGTGATCAATGACTGATCAATTCATGAAACAAAACTTATTCTCAATTTTAGTGTGCAGTAGTTACAAAAGGAAAATGAACATGACAACATTCTACATGAAATTAAATTTCTGTGATTACATGGTCAAAAGTTTGATGGGCCAACGGAATAAAAGAGATTAATGGCATGAACATCTGCACAGCTAATCGCTATGCCCAGGATAGAAGAGGCTGGAACGTCATCATCAATAGGGTCACGAAGGGTCGGTCATGGCTCGTAGGGCAATGACGACGATGACATGGTCTATGAAAATAGTGTGATTTCAGCTTCAGCAATGCAGCGGTGACAATGTTCAGGAAATATAATCAACATTAGAGCATTCTGTAAAATGGAGCATCCCTGTCTTTGTTATAAATGTATTCATATCCATGAATCACTATTCAATTTGATTTTATAAGCTGAATATGTCCAGGGGGGTGTTTCACAAAGATCCTAAGTCAAACTTAACTCAAAGTTGGACTTAACAATTATGGAAAGCCATTAGCATCTTTGAAAATATTTTGTAAAAGTTATTTTAAAATGCATAAAATGTTGATTAAAAATAAGAGATTTCATGTTCTTGATGTGGAAATGTGGAATTCATGAAAAGTCTAAAATAGTTGAATTTTTGCTTTTAAATATATCTATCTTAAGGCTACAAATGGCTCTCCATAATTTTAAAGTACAACTAAGAGTTCAGTTCGACTTAAGATCTTTTTGAAACACCCCCCAGGAAAATCAAATCGATGAGAGAACATTCTGCAGATATTTCCATCTTTTATGGATCGTACTTGAGTTTTAATTTCTTCATATTGTCACTGAAGAACCATGGCACCTTGGTTGATATGAAGTAGTTCTGTTGATCAAAGGTCTCCGGTATGACAAGCTGTCTAGCATGGAGGTGCATTGGAACGGTCCTAGCTTTGGGTTGGGTGATACCCAGAGAGTGTAGTATACCAGCCGTCAGTTTCTGAATAGAAAAAAAAAAGAATAATAAAACGGCAAATCAATGAATGCTTGTCAATAAAACATTAGGCTGCAGGCACAGACTTTCTTTTGACACTAACACAGTTTCATAAAGTGTTGGGCCTAGCTGGAGTACAGGAGACCATGCAGTCTGCATAGTCTGATGGTTTAGACACTCTTACATGTTATTACTGTGAAGGGTTTGTAACTACAAACTATTAAACAAGCTTTTCAATCTTTATCATCGTTTATCTCTAGGGAAAAGGCAATATCAAGTTTATTCCATAGATACACCCTACTGCAGCTCTTAATTATAGATGGACCTTATGATGCCTCTGTCATAGAGCCATTCTACAAACCAATTGTAATTCATCAATCGGTTCTTGAGATAACGCAATCACGAGAATGGGACGTACGGACAACCTGAAAACATAATGCCTTCGGCTGAACGGACGCATAAAAAATGCTATACCATACATATGATTGAAATCTCACTGAAAGCCAGAAAGGCTTTACATGTATGTAAAGTATTTGAGTTACTGCTCTCTTGGCTCTCAACAGAAAATGCAACAAGCCTTACCTGAGGGGCTAGTCTGTCATGATGGGAATACTTGTGATCACCAAGGATAGGGCAACCTAACCCTTGGGCAAGGTGAACTCTGATTTGATGCTTGACTCCTGAAAATTAAGAGCACATGGATATCAGTGAAGGCCAGAATTACTCAAACTGTCAGTATATATAGAAAGAGAAAATAACTGTTATCTTTATTCCAGTCTAGCACTCAATTTTGTTTTGCTTCAGTGACATTTACTCTAGGTTTATTTCATCAAAGATATACATGTAGGGCTGGAGTTAGGCTTGGGGTTAGTGGAAGTTATCAAACAGACACGGAGTAAACAGTGAGAAACAGGCTGAATAATCTATGAATTTGACTTTTTTTTTAGAAACACTGCACCTAATATTTGTGATCTTGCTATCTGTATGACCTGTAGACAGTCTGGCAGCAGTTTGGATGATGAGTTTGACCCAGGGATGCGAGTTAGAATTGATCAGAGGGCCTGAAAATCACCTAGAATGAGCTATTTTGTACCAAAAAAAGCCTAAACTATGGTCTGAAAATAACTCGCCAGGGCCTGAATTCAGGCTATTACCTGAAAACTGGCCTTCCTGTTGACCTTTGTAAACATTTATTGTGATTTTGTTCCTAGATTCTTACCTGTCTCGGGCTCCAGTTGGACTAGGGCACAGTTACCACGTTCACTCAGCACCTTGTACCTGGTGATTGCCTCTTTACTATCCCTGCTCTTCCTCCCGGATCTCATCCCGATGGTATCAGGATACAGATCAGCCATGTCTGGTTTGATGACCATCCTGTGTTTGCCGTCGATCTCTTTCTCTATCATAGGCATGTCCAGGATCCCTTCCTTGGGACTGGGTATACCAACAGTGATGACCTGAAACCAAATGGGAGAGGATTAGACATGACTTTCAGGGAAAATATGAAATTGATCATAAAAAGTTGCAATCATTCCTTAAAGGCATTGTTTAACAATGTTAAATCTGAGTTGCATGGCCCCACGTGTTATCAGTGTCTGTGATATGGTGTAATATTGAAGCCCTAAACAAAATTGCGTTTCAAAATGATCATGAAGTGCTTAAAAACAGCAAAACTCTTTGAGTGACCGGTTTTACCATTCTCATTTTCCCCAGTAGACTGCAGTGTCATGAAAACTGTTAGGAAAACAAATTTTTAAAGTTCGATTTCCAGTCATAAATATCTTGATAATCAGACAGGGGATCGGCTTGTTAAAGTCATGGGGTTCCTGACTGACCTAAAGGTTTATAATTATGATTGCAGTATAAGCTAAATCCAGGATTTCATTTCAAAATCTGAGGCAATTTTACCAAGTCATTTTTAGTTTAATATTTATAATGATCATAAGAAGTTACAACAGATCAGAAAGCTTCTGTGACGGGACTCCTTGTTGTTCATGTATATGGAGAGCAACATCTTGTATAAAACAAGATTCTTGATCACAGAGATGTGGGTTCATACAAAGTACTGTTATCTCTGTTCTTCATTTTTTAAACATAAAGCCTAGGGAACAGACGAGGCAAAAGAGTGGATAAGGGCAGAAGGCAACAGTCTTGTTGTACATATGGAAGATGTTGAAAACTTTGCTTTAAATTGCTAATAAAAATTCCTTGAAATAAGACCTTAAAGCCCCACTGCACTACTTATAGCTACTTGCCCCCTCTATATAGCAAGCAATGCCTAATCGGTGACCATTGGTTCCCCATGATCCTCTTTTTCTTATGTTGAGAGCTTATTTGATGAGATAACCACCTGTCAGTGACCATGCAGGGATGTCTAATCCCTCCTGGCCAAACTAGTGTGGTGGGGCTAATAAAAAAATATATCTTGACACAATTCTTCAACTTCTAGAAGACTAGATTATTATTTGTTCTCCTCACCAAGTATCGTTTGATAATCTGTCTCTTCCTGAACATCTCATGGAGTACCCTAGCTGTTCTCTCATTCCTAGCCAGCAGCATCACACCTGTAGTCTCCTTGTCCAGCCTGTGAATCAAATGAAGCTCTTCAGTATTACCACCTCCTTTGTTATTAAGTGTCCAAGCCAGCTGGGGTAGGAGACTATCTATGCTGTGTTTCATTCCAGGCCCACCTAGGATCAATAATAATGACAAATAGGATGTAATTCACAAAGGAGAAATCTAAGCAGTGGCTAAAACAATTATAGAATATTTTGTAAAACAAAAAACGGGAGAGTTTTCCCATGACTACGTCACAATCAACTTACCAACTTGACAATTTGGAATTCACATGGACTTAGTGATCACATATTTCAAACATCTGTAACTCCCTTATCATAAGCCAGATTTATTTCAAACTTTCACCATTCTATTTCTTTTATATTTCTGCATCCTTCTCAAAGGGAAGTCAACTACATATATACATTATAGCATATATGCTTTTCTTTTCACCACATAACTATGAATTTCTACATTCCAAAATGTTGATGTGAACTATAAAAAAATACATTAAAAAAAAAAAACTTAAAAAAAAACAAGAGGCTGGTTTAATGCATAACGCCTATTTACATTGTTTGTTTCATCTCTTACCCAAAGCAAACAAAAATGGATGTACTTATCAAACTATCACATCAAACAAAGTTACATTGGGGCTTGTTATCTTCATGGTACAGTACATCAGGAGAGAAAGAAGCTTTCTTACCATGTACAGGCAGCCCATAGGGTTTATCCAAAGCGATGATGTCACCTAAAAGGGAAAGAAATGTAAAAAGGTAATACTATGCTTTGATTTGATCTGTAATTTTACACACCAAATGAAGATATGCCAAGATTCATATTTAAACCCTCACACTATCTTGATGTAATCTATACTACTTATCTTCTTAATTATGAAATGGCATAGAATGTGGAAATATATAAAACTAACTCCCCCCCCCCCCCCAAACCTCCAGAAAAAAGAAAGAAAAAAAGTGTAAGAACACCAAACGTTACATTTATACACATAAATTCTTTAAAAAAATAAAATTTGAAACTGAAAAAGGACACCCAAATCCCATATATACCCTGTTATCATGCTGTATGAACTGTAAAAACTACCGGAATACTACACAATATACCTGTAGAAATAAAACGAATTAGGAGCTAGCAAAACCTTTGATTGGATGTCTTACCTTTATCAAAGATGACTCTATCCCTTAATATCTTTGCAACCACTTCACCACTCAGTCTACCCAGGTCACGAGTCTGATATCTCAGATCTGTTCTTTCTGAAAATATGAATATTATGTTACGGTATTTTAAAAAGCTGTGAGACTATTGGATCTGTAGGCAAAAGCATGCAGCTTACCGTAGATATATCTGGGGCCATATTTGTAGCTGTCACATGGGGCAGGGAAGGATCCAGCCGGCAACAAGAGGGGTTGCCCAATCCGTGACAAAATATTAAGCAGCGACTAAGCCAGCCGGTGAATAAGGGGGGGGGGGGGGGGGTAATGGGCTTGGGGTTTCTGTTGCATAATGCAGTTTTCCAAGTAGTAGCACAAGTAATGTATTTCTACAAGGTATGATTTCTTGTCAATCTCATTTAGATATCCTCAAAAAACAATAATGATGATGATGATGATGATGATGATGATGATGATGATGATGATGATGATGGTGAAGATGATGATAATAATAATAATAATAATAATAATAATAATAATGGTGGCTTCTTGTAAAGCGCACATGTCCGTCACGTTGTGACACTCCTGGCGCTGCCCCAATTATTACCCTGGCTTTAGCAAGGCGACCACTGCGGCGCTCTAGCATTTCAAGGAATTAATTCTTGCCAGGTACCCATTTGCATCACCTAGGTTGAGTGTGGCAAATGTAGATCAATGTCTTGCCAAAGGACATTAGTGCCGCGGCGGAACTCGAATCGCGGACCATAAGATCGACAGTCCGTCTACGTATCCACTCGACCACGACACCTCTACGAAGATGAAGATGATGAAGATGATGGTGATGATGATGATGATGATGTTGTTGGTGATGGTGATGGTGATGGTGGTGATGGTGATGGTGATGATGGTGATGGTGGTGGTGGTGGTGATGATGGTGATGGTGGTGGTGATGATGGTGGTGGTGGTGGTGGTGGTGGTGGTTGCGGTGGTGGTGGTGGTGAGGATGATGATGATGATGATGATGATGATGATGATGATGATGATAATGATGATGATGATGATAATGAAGATGATAATGAAGATGATGATGATGATGATGATCATAATGAAGATGGTGATGGTGATGATGATGACGATGATGAGTTTGAAATGCCCATTGCATGAAAGAGAATGTTAGATGAGACTTCTGAATAAGAGACGAAATACAAGGGATATAAAAAGCATTTAAAATGAGCAAGGTGATAGAGATCTCTGAACAAGTTAATCTCAATGATTTCATTCAATAGAAAAAGGTTATATTTCACATCAAAAAAATGTTTAGCTATGACACAGATTATTGGATTTGTCATGGAAATTATTTCTAAAGATGACATTGAAGAAATTTCAAACTTACTCTTTGGAATGTCTTCCTTCTCTTCAATTGGTTTTTGTGCCTTCATATGTGCCTGAAGCTTTCTCCTTACCCTAGCAGCAACAATGCTAGATTGACTGAGATCTGCATCTGGGGAGAGAGCTAACTTTTCCAGTTTCCGTCTCAATGTTCTCTTTTCTTTGACATCACCATCAACAAAAAAATCTTTCTGGTTTGCAGCTGCATCTTTCCTTTGTTTTGAAATTTCAGGAGTTGCTGGAGCTGAAGTGCTATGTCTTCTTTGTGCAGGTGACAAAACACTCACTCCCCAGGAGTTTTGTATGATGTTTGAACGAGTCAAGGAGATTGCTCTTGCAAAAACATGTAGCTTTCCGCAACAGGCCATGTTGGGGTGTGGTTCTGACAAAAGCTCTTCTAGAAATAGTTGATTCAGATCTACAAGTGATAAAGGAAAAAAGTACAGCATGAAAATTAATGCAAAATTGCAAATCTTTACATTGGGCAATACAATATTTGAATTTTTGTTTAAATTCAGCATCAATTAATAGCCATATTTAGCCTCTGTAATTTCAGAGATCTATAGACCTAGATCTACTTTTTGAGAATTACAACAAACATCTTGAAATCTATTCATCTCGACAACTGTACAACCCACCCCATATCAATCAACAGGCCAAAGCAAAGGGCCAAGCATTGCATCCAACTCCAACTTCCAAGCACATGCTCTCCAAAACCATGAAAACCAGTCTTCACCAGGTTTTCTAAATCCACGCATCCTTCAGTGACAGAAGTTCAGTTACACATAGGTCTACCCCCCCCCCTTTCTAAATCCACGCATCCTTCAGTGACAGAAGTTCAGTTACACATAGATCTAGGTCTACCCCCCCCCCCCCTTTATTGATGCACCAGAAATTCTTGTCTGTGTAGTAGATCTACTGACTGTGCGCGCATCAACCCACAGACTGCCACAGTCATGACATTGCGTTAATCTTCATTTCATGAAGTCTGCACTTTTCAGGAAGAAGTGACCCCCACATGCATATCGCGACGACTCCCGAAAATGCAAATGTCCCCGCCCACCCGCCGCCTGGCATCCCCTACCACTACCCCACAGCGCGCCGCCTGTGGCTGTGCCTCATGCGGCCGATCGCACGACAAAAGGTGATGACCGATTCAAGAAGAAAACACATTCATTAATCATTTACTATGTCAAATTTATCCCAAAGTCTCAAGGAATTTACTTTAATGGTATGGCAATTCATCTGATACTCTACAGTCAATTTCTGATCTAGCAGATTGACTCAACGGTTAGTTAATGGCAATATTAATTTCTCCTCACTCTTCACTGAAACTGGTCACAGGGGGCTGCCATGTTGGAGCTCTTTCATTAAATGATTTTGAATCTCGTATAATTTTGAGTTAAAAACTTACTTTAAAAACTTTATCTCATGTAATATATTTAATTTTAAAAAAATATTTATATATATAATTTACAGGCTGTTTTTTAAATCAATTTATCAGATGATCACAATCCAATAATACATGTATTTGACTAGACCCTGAACAAAGTTGAAGAGCGCCATCATAATAAAGAAAATCATTTCATTTTGATTTTTGTGACTGACTGAGCCGAACCGTTTGCTGTCGTAATTCTGACCTTTTTTTCAGTTTGTAAGGATAAAGAGAAGAAAAAAAGATGGGTGTCTGGTTAATGGATCACGTTCGCCTCCTGAGAAATGAAGGACTCTTCGGAAATTTGTCTATTTTGGTGAGGCTCAGGATTTTTTTTAAATTATCAGTCCCACGTATGTTTCCTTGTGTGATGTGTAGGCCTATACTGTTCCGACTTTCTAAGGCAATGGCATTTCTACAGTTCTGAATGAATGAATGTCTGTTTTGCTCTGTGACTATGATGACTGTGTTTTGTTCTGTTACTTAGTGGATATTACTCAATCTTTAGTGAAATCTTGTGAGCACATTTGCAGCTGCACCGCAATGACCACGCCTAGAGTAACAGTAGGGGCGCTGGTCTGAGAATAAGGATCGTCTTCATAAACGAGGATCGTCTTCTTTAACACTGACCGATGCGTCCTCAAAAATAAGGACCGTCTGCATTTTTGCAGACGTTTCATATTTTTGATCGGCGCATTGGCGATGCAAAAAACGGATTCTGCAATGATTTTCTTGATGCAATTTACATTGACTTTGTACAGAGACCTTCACATTATGAGCAATAAATCCTTGGGAAGACGGACAACCCATAAAAGTAGACGGACAACTAGGGTTATTTTCCCCCGGGGAATCCATTTTTGGCATCGCCAGCGGGCCGTTCTGTAACATGAAACCCCCAGAGCGCCGATGAAAAAAAACGTCCTCGAAAATGCAGACGACCCTTATTTTTGAGGACACATTTTGTCTTCGTTTATGAGGATATCCTTGTTTATGAGGACGATCCTCATTCTCGGACCAGCGCCCCTACTGAGTAAAGGAGCCGGTAATCGGCCAGCTCCAGTTTTCGGCCGATTGGTTGGATGCAAGGTAAAATCCCTCTAAAATACATCGCATAATAGCATAATACATATCCCACACATACCATACCATGCCAGTGTCACTGAAGAACCACATTTGCAATTAAAAATATATCCTAAAATATCACATTTTAGCGATGTAATCGGCGGTCCCGCTACCCGAATCTGAAAAATCGAGTATCTTACGCGTGTCTGTAAGAAATATGGGTACCATAAAATGAGCTTTATTTCAAGTATTTTTCAGATTTAGAGCCCGATTTTGTGCTAGTCGCAAGCTCATAAGTATCTCATCGCATGTATTAAATCAATGCAGCCGCACACCGCAACGCACACACGATATCTCTGTCTAATTCAGATTCCAATATCCGATCACCGCAGTACTAGTTTTCGGCCTGGCAAGCTCCGGGGAGCTCCGGCGTGGGATATCTGCTCCGCCCGCTAGTGCTATAGATCAGCGCGGAAACGTGCTTCCTATTGACTTTGTACATGCGGCCGAAAACTGACTCCGAAACAGTGAAAATTGAAATGAATATTGTCATGGCAATTCATGATTTTTTTCTGGGATTCTTGTTTTGTTTAAATAATAATAATATTTGCTTCATGATTTGAACAAAAAATGATAATAAATAGGAAGTAAAGGGTCCAAAAAATAGGATTTTGTCTTAAGTGGCCGAAAACCGGCTCCTTTACTCTAAACAGTAGTAGACTAAACCACGTAAAAATTAAGATTAAGAATTTCATAAAAAATATTGATTGATTGAGAGAGCATATAGCTCTCATTTATTTCTTCCAATATGTACAATTAAAAATCAAACAAATTTACAGTATGTCATGCATAATTTCATGTTTACATCAAAATAACAGAGTAATAGTCTACATAGATGTACATAAGAGCTAGTAATACAAATAAATGAAAGAAAAGGGTGTCCCGAAAAAAGCCTCCAGGGCTTGTAAGGAGGGGATCACCAGAGTAAACAAAAACAAAAAAAACAAAACAAAAAAAAAGAATAGTTGTTTACACTTTACAAATGAATTATGAATAATGCTAACGACAGCCGGAGGGGTGTGACCGTTGCGATGCCACACTCCAGCACTCTACAAAGCTGAGTAGCAAGGTAAATTGACATTATTTAATTTGATCATTTAGAGAGAAGGAATCTTTTCATTCGTTTTTTAAAGAGTGCATTGAATTGTGTGTGTTGAATGTCAGAAGGCAAGGAATTCCAGATAATGGGGCCAAGGTAACGAAATGATTTTGAAAGTATATTAGTTTCTGTTTTCCAGAAATAGAATTTGGCTGACTGTCGAGTAGAGTAAGCATGGACATTTTTGTTTAAACAAACTATTTGAATAAGATAAGGAGGGAGGCATTTAAAAAAACGTGTGCATCAAAAAAGCAATCAATAATTTGTTTGAGTCATACACATTTAATGTTGAAAAACGGCGGAATAAAGGTAAAGAAGGGTCTAGATAATGAGCATTGGCACAAATTCGAAGTGCTCTTTTTTGAAGACGATGTATTCGTGATAATTTAGATGCATGTAATGAAGCCCATACCACATTGCAATACATAACATTGGGTAAAATAAAAGTATTATACATGGTAAATAGCAGTTTAGGTGGTAATATACATTTCACATTGTTCATTATCCCAGTAATTTTTGATATCTTACTACAAGTTACATTAATGTGAGAGTCCCATGTTAAAAATTCATCTAACTGTACGCCTAAGTATGTAAAAGTAGAATATTGTTTCAACTCAGACCCGTTTAGTAACAGTTTTACGTCAGAGTAGTCAGGTCTTTTGTTTATTCCTGAAAATTACAAATTTAGTTTTCAAAATATTTAACGACAATTTATTACAAACAAGCCAATTATACACATGGTCCAGGTTTATATTAATCTTACGGACTAATGAATTAAAATTTACATCAGAGGCTATCAGTGACATATCATCTGCAAATAAGACAAATTTAAAGAAATCTGAACAGTTTACTATGTCATTAATATATATTAAAAATAAAAGTGGGCCGAGTATACTCCCCTGAGGAACACCGGATGAAATCATTTTAGAATTTGATGATTGACCATCATATACAGTAAACTGTTTCCTATTTCTTAAATAACTACAAAACCAAGAATGTGGTAAGCCTCTTATTCCATAAAATGATAACTTAGATAACAGTATTGAGTGTGAGAGAGTATCGAACGCCTTCGATAGATCCATGAAAATAGTGATTGCATGTTTGTTTGTATTAATGCATTTGAGAATATGTCATAAAGTTCAATCAATGCAAATTCAGTTGAACAGTTCTTCCTAAAACCATATTGGTTAGGACTAAGCAAATTATTAATGATAAAAAAATTATACAATCTATTATATACGAGTCTTTCGAGAACTTTAGAAAACAATGGCAAAACAGATATTGGTCTGTAATTATTACAGTGAAATTTACCACCCTTCTTATAAATAGGAATAACTTTTGCTTTTTTCATCTTATCAGGAAAGACGCCGGTTTGTATAGATAGATTACATATGTGAGTCAAGGGTTTAATAATGAAATATACACTAGGTTTAAGAATATCGGGAGATATGTTATCGTATCAAGGGCTCTTTCCGGAACTAAAATTCTTTACAACATCAACAACTTCATGTTCGGTAATAAGGTTAAAAAACAAAGATTTTTCAGACATTTGAGGCATAAAGTCAGAGAATTTTGCACTTGAATTTGGTAAAGATCGTGTACATGTAAGGTTATCTCCTACACTCACAAAAAAAGTCATTAAATAAATTTGCCACATCAAACGGATCTTCTACCTTGATATCTTGGTGAATAATAATGGCTTTTGATGTTTTGTTTCTACCTAGAATTTCGTTTAAAAATTGCCACGTTTTCTTTAAATTTCCTTTGAATTTGTCAAATTTTTCATGAAAATATAAATAAACTATTGTTGTCAGTCATCCACGTTTCAGTAATTCCAATAACGGAAAAGGAATATTTTAGTAATGTTAAATCATTGTTAATACTGTCAAAATGTCTTCTTAGACTCCTTGCATTGTAGTGAATTAAACTAAATTGAGAATTATTATGATATTTAGTCAATATGTCTATTGACTAATAATTTTGAAATAAAATGCAAAGAAAAGACCTATTTTATTGCAAAAATTAGTATTCAGGCGTAACAGAGACAGGTTGAAATAGAATTGTGCACACCCGTTGCGAGACTAGCGACATCTTTTGTTCTTTCTCTTCTCTTCCCTGTCTCTCCCCCTCACAACGGACACTATTCCTTTTTTTTTTCTTTTTTTTTCATTCATTTATTGGCTCATTTCCTTTTTCAATTTTTTCCCCTCTTTTTAAAAATTTAATTTTTTCCTTCTAGTCACCCACAGAGGCCCTTTCCCCCCCCCCTCCCCCCTGCCAACTTATCCTTTTTCTTAATATTCTTGTCAGTTGTGATTCTTCATTTAATTTTCCTTCTCATCTCTTCCCTATCCTTTCTACTGTAATGCTTTTGAGGCTCTAGTCGGTAGTCCCCTTTCTTCATGTATGTTATTATCTTTGTAACTCTTTGTTATACCTTTTCTTTATTTTGCTTCTTGATAACACTTTTTTTTCTCTTTGAATTTAATATAGATGAAGAAAAGTAAGAAAAGTGGGCATGTAAATATGGAGTAGACTACATGTACTTCACTTTTATCTTGGAAATAACATTATTTGAAGAAAAAAAATAACCAAGCAATGATGTACGTTAAAGTAGATATTCATTGATTTTAAAAACTAACTTTATGTTCATTATTGCAAAGTTGAAACTTTGATTCGACAAGGTTATCAAAATTCAATGCTTGGAAACATTCAAAGTAATGATTATTATAAATTACAAAACGCTCAAATACAGCATAGCACCTGAACAGCTCTCCGAACGCTGCTGAGATGTGTGAGATCACAGTATGGACATGACTTACACAAGCAGACGATGTCCCATGACATCTCACACACTTTCAGTGCCTGTGTTTTCATCTTCTCCTGAGTTCTTTCTCTTACTTCACTACCGTCAGGCTAAGTGTATAATCTATTGCCTCACTCTAAACCCCGCGCATGGCTTTATTTTGATGAAAAATGCAGCGATACAAAAATAAAGGAATCTGTCGCTTGTAAACAAAATAAGACGCCATTGTATATAGCTACACACCGGGGTATGTTCGGCGTTTCAAGAGGGAACAAATGCCATCCTTAATTTCATTCGGGGGGGTTTTCAATTTGAAAGTCTGGTTTCTTTGATTGTTAATTAACCCCTATTCTGTGTATTTACAAGCAAAAGATTTTAGTTATCAGAATCAGGTCATATCCCTGTTTGAATGGTTTGACATGCCATTACATTTATTCAAGATTCAAGATTCAAGATTTTATTGTCCATAATATAATACAGAAATTTGTTTTCCATTGGTATAACATGTAGTACAAAAAACATAAGACAAAAACATGGTGTCGTGTGCTGAAAGCCAGAAGGGCGTCAAGACTATATAAGAAAAAGTCTATGAGCAGGTACGGTCCTCTGGCTTTCAGCACAAAACATGACAAGACAGTTATATGACTGTATACACACTAAACTCATTAGAATTTGAGAAATAATAGCTTTGCAATTATGTTCATTCTCTATGGGATGTCGTCTGCTTGGGCAGTGTTGGTCCATATAGTGACGTCATTAAAACAACATTTTCCGGCGAATCTCTCGTAGATCCCAGCTGCTATCGAGGTGGTTGTATTTGCATTTTTATAAATCACCCGATATGTACATTGTAGTTGACCTAAAACTTGTACGATGGCCATCTGTTAGCTTACCAGTTTCTAGTGATACATTAGTTGATATATTTGTGATCTTCTTTGAATTTCACCTTTAATCCTATCTTCCTACTACTACTTATTTTTAAAGTGCAGTAATAATAAGTACTGTTATCGTTACAACCCTACGCATGAGAGGTCTGCATTAAGGTAACATAATAAATCTTTTACACAACCTCCTGTCCTTTCATGGCTAAACCATTGCAATGTTTTGTTGTGATTTCCAGGCCAACTTGGTGAAGACGGCTTGTGAACAGAATACTGAATTGTTAACCGTGGCTGAGAGATACCAACTACTGGTCTTTTATGCAGATGCTTTGTACGAAGAACAAGAATGCAAGAGGGCTGAGGTAAGATCTCCTAATCTTTATTGTCTCCATCCAATGTTAAAATCTGTTCTGAGAATAGATGTTATCCCTCGTGAACTTGAGAAACAAAGATGTTAGTAATTTCTTTATTTTTTTATATTTTTTTAAAGAATTAGACTGGGCTATTTTCTGTTTAAATTTGGAGCACACCTCTATCGGGAAAAATATATTTTGCAAGATCTGTCTCACCTCTATTGAGATGTTATCACCGATTGGGGTTTGGGGGCAATTAACTGATTCTATGCTGTACGACATGTATGTACATGTAGGACATTTACCCATTTATTTCATCCAAAAATAAGAGATCTCTAGATATAACCATTTAAGGACATATTCCAGTTACTTATACTTTACACAAAAGACATCACTTCCTTCAAATTTAGCTGTAATTCTAAATAAAAATGTGCCCCAGAAGGTGACACTCTTTCAAGCTTGAATTAACTTGATACATTGTCATGTCTGTCATTCTGGCTCAATGCAGAGATGCTTCTAATAGGGTGGTTGAGTGGTTTAAGCACTTGACTTAAAATAAAAAGGTTGTGGGTTCGATCCCGATACAGCACTAATGTCTTTTGGCAAGGCACTTAAAGGTAAAGACCAGTATTGGAAACGCCCCAATTTCAAAAAATGAAATGGAAGCTCTCATTACCAATCATGTGAAAGAATATTTTTTGACTAATACATGATGATAAAAAATTTGCCGGGAAACCGCCTACCAATTCATATATTTGGTAAAATTGTTTCTCTCATGGTCTGTGAGAGATATAGGGTAGTCCCATATACATCTTTCTGTGTATAGTGCTTGTAACTTTATGAAGAATGGGCCAAATTTCTTCTCATTTTGATGATTCCAGAACCTTGCAGATGCTAGATGCTAGATGATCAACCTTTTCTGATCGATTCCACAACGTTTCTTTCACAATGCAATCGCATGACCATAACTGGTCTTTACCTTTAATAGCTACATTTGCCTCTCCAATATCCGGGAGATCGAGAAAGGGGACCTGATAGGATGACGAAAGCCTTAGGTAGTAATTGCTGTATGCCCTCGCAGTGATCATATGGTAGGAATAATCCCCAGGGAGTGGAGATGGTCTACATTGAGCATGAATGAATCTGATGACCGAGGTAATGATATCTGTAAAGCATTTAGAGACTGTGTTTCGTATTTTAGGTCTATATAAATCCAGATTATTATAATGGATGATATAACTCTGTATTTGCATCTCTCAGGGAATGTACCGCAAGGCCCTGCAGCTGAAAAAGATGATCAACAAGTCAAAGGTGAAGGGTCAAACACAAACCAGCCAACAAGCAGACGACAACTTGCCCTCGGAGCTAGATGTCAGGTTCCGCATCTACCAGTGCCACAATATTCTCAAAAACCACAGAGAGGCGCTCGCTGTGGTGAGTGAATTGCTCTCACGAGAGACATGTCTTTGGTTATCTTACAAAGGCCTATGATGAGATATGAAACCGGGGAGATCAGAGATTTGGCATTGAATTAAGATTTTTATAGATGAATTTGGTTGATGTATCCAGGCTTCTTGGCAGGAATTTGTTTACCCCGGGTCCAAATTAAGTGAAATCTTGCTTTTTGTGGCCTACCAGGGGATGATCTGAAAAAGCAGAAGCACCTGTACAAGTTGAAATTATGTATTAACATATTTATTTACATTGATCTACATTTGCCACACTCCACCCAGGTGAAGTAAATGGGTACCTGGTAGGAATTTATTCTTTGAAACGCAGCGCGCGTAACAGCTGCACTGCTAAAGCCACGGTAATTATGCTGCATTATTGTAGAGCGCTTAGAGACTTCTGACAAAGTAAGTGTTAGGCGCTATATAAGCACTGTAATTATTATTATTATTATTATTATTTCCCCTCTGTCTCAGTGGTTCCCTTATGGGGGAGAATTCGATTTTTTATTCCAAAGTCCCCCACTCATGGTATTAGTTCCAAGAATGCTATGCACTACTGACAAGAAGCCTGGATGTTGCTAATAGACCAATTCGTAGTTTATAGCACATGGTTCAGATAACCCCAAATATCCACAGATCTTTTAAAAATAGATAAATCCCATTTTGTGCCTTTTGGAATAATCACAGCTAAAGTCATGGTGGTGAGTCTTTGTTTGCCCTCTTGAAAGGATTATTTCCACCTGTGTTCAATAGAATGTATCACAGGTGCATGCATGAATAATGATTACATAACTTTTGTGAGCATGTATCTAGTATAAGGCTGTGCACAACAATGTAATGAGGTACCCGAGTACACTCCCAGGCTTACAAGCGAATACTCGAATATTCGGACGCCACGTTTTTTATTATTTTTTTAATTTTTTTTTAATTTTTTTATTTTTTTATTTTTTTTGCCACCACCTTACCACTGGAGCAGTATCCCAAGTCCATCGTCGAAAACGCATGCAATTTTATTTCGAGCAGTTGAAGGCGCCGATTTAATAATAATAATAACAGTAAACAATGCTGTTTTAAAAACCAAAGATGGCGGAATAATCCATTTTCCTCGGAGTCCAAACAGAAATCTGGACATTTGGTCCCAGTTTCTGAGTGGTGAGTTTGACAGTGCGTGAGTTGGGAAACATTTTTACCGACGGTACCATGCCAGCGGCCGCCGCTCTCCCTGGCACGGGTACCGCTAACCGTCGGCCTGGGAATTTTTTTTGTTTTTGTTTTGTTTTTTGTTTGCAGCCAAATATTCGAGTAAGAGAAATCGTACTCGAGTAGTTGTCAACCGTGCGGGTGCTCGAGCATTCAACTACTCGTCGCAGCCGTAATCTAGTATTAGTCTCAGCGAGTTTTACATTTTTGTACAAGTGACCTTTATCTGCGCATGCGCAGATTGCATCTACGAACTGGTATATTGTAATAGTTTGTGCATTCATTATATCATTATATCTCCTCTTTTTGTTTCAACTCTTCATGATAGCTTGAGAGTATCCCTGCTAAGATGCGAGAACCCAAAGTCAACATGGCCCTTGCTAAGCTCTATCAGAAGATTGGAATGGAACGATCAGCTATCTACGGGTACAAGGAAGTACTGAGGTAATGACCAAAAAGGTTTAGACCTACCTTCAACTAGAGATTAACTACACTGCTTTCAATGCTTTCAATGCTTTCAATGCTTATAAAGTATTTGTGTTCTCATTCCTTTAAAACATAAATGTGGATGATACAGTAGAAACAGTCGCTATCAAGATTAATTATAATATTAATAATATACCGTACTTATATACTGTAGCGCATATCACAATATGTCTCCATGCGCTGTAAGAAAGAGTAAGAAGGAAAGGTGGATAGAGTAACATAAGAAGAGTGAGATATGCTCAACATACTTCCTCTCGTTAGATTACATGTAGATTTGGCTGAATACATTTATTCATTTCTTTGCATGTTCATTTTTAATCCTCCTTTCCACAGGCAATGTCCTCTGGCACTTCAAGCTGTTCTGGGTCTTCTCTCTCTGGGTGTTCGAGGGACGGAGGTGGCTGCCTTCACAGCTAACAACATGCCCAGCTCAGCCAACATGGAATGGTAAGCATGGGACAACAAGGGGTATTCCTGCCTTCCAGGCCCTGATACCTCTCCATTTCTGGCTTTTTGAGACTTTATATGGTATACCTGTAGCAGAGCTGCCAACCATTACATTTTTCCTGAAATTCTTATTTATTTTGCTCAAAATTACGGTAGTACGTTTTTTCTTTCAATTTTTTTAATATTTTGTAATCTTACATACCGCACGTCAACCAAATGCTCTAAAATGTTGATCACTACTCCCATAGAGAACTAAGGTTGAAACATAATTGCAGAGAAAAATATTCTCAAAAAGAATGAACTGCTATTAAATAATACACACACACACACACACACAAAAAACTACCTACTTGTACTTGTAAATAAACTATAGGTCCTAATATAGAATGTGTGTCGTGCATGGTCGTAAGTTTGGTTTTAATGAATTCCTTTTTTTTTGGTTGAAATTCCTTTTTTTTCCATCATGGTTCCCTTTTTTGGTTGCACAAGGTTGGCAGCTCTGATGTAGAACATGTGGGACTCCTACATGCATATCTCCCTTTTGAGGCTTATTGAGTAAGAACAAGAATTTAGCAACTGTTGCAGTGATCAACAAAATTAATTTATTTCACTTGAAATCTGTTACGAGTAGTGTGTAATGGAAGAAAGAGTTTCTTTTCTCACTTTTCCAAAAGCAGTGAAAGAGCATACTATAATATGAGTGATTTCTAGCTTGAGATAATACCTAATTACTAGTATTATGTATTCTCTTCTTAATACTGCTTAAGAGCTAGCCTTGTGCACAGGGGAACTAAACATTCATGTTGGTTATCAATTGTAAGTTGCAAAAGAGATTGGAGGCCACTTTTTTGAGGACCTCTCATAATACAC